ATATCTAGAAATCTTCAAATTTTTTGTCTACCCGACATTTTATTTTTGCAAATAGTTTTTTTCAGTTCTAAAAATCAATTGACCTTTCATTTCAATTCGTTCAATTAAGTTAATTTAAACTAATTATCCTTTATGTGTTGACAATTTTCAACATGAAGCAAATTGAAGGTGCACGTCCGTTTTTAACCAGAGCAAAGGCAGGAATAATGGGAGGTAAGATTAAAGTTCCATTTCAATTTTAAATTTTCATTCTTACCATTCCATATATAAAGCACCGTTTGGTGTATGAAGGCATTTTCGATATGATCCAGCAAAGAATCCTAGCTAAATTAACCAAAACTCAATTCAATTGATGATAAATTCGTTGTATTTCCTTTCGATTCACTTCATTAATCCGTTATTTTTTCTTCAATTTTTAGTAAACGATAAATGCGAAAAAGGCCGGACAGCCCTTCATAACGCCGCAGAGAAAGGTAACCTTGGATATTTATGTTCACTAAATCAGGGATTGATTAAATCTTCTTCATTGATTTATTTCAGGTCAATTGGAGGTCGTTAAATGGCTCATCAAGAAAGGAGCCAAAGTTGATTCGACGGACAAACTTAAGCGCAAACCACTTCATTATGCAGTTTTATCGGGTAGATCATTCACACATCTCCATCAAAAGTGTATATTTATATTGGAGTTTCTTTCTAGGCGTTGTGGAAATTGTTCGAGAACTTGTCAAAAATGGTGCAAATGTGAATGCTGAAAACGAATATAAAGAGACACCACTTTATTGGGCAGCTGCCTCTGGTAAAAACATCGTTCACACATTCAAAATGTTCCTTTCTTCTGGAGTTTTGTTCATTATCTTTCCAGGCCGTGTGGATATAGCTCGAGTACTTGTTGAAAAAGGTGCAAATGTCAATGCTAAAGACGACTATAAAGAGACACCACTCCATTGGGCAGCTTCCTCTATATTGGGTAAATCATTGACACACCTCTATTAAAAGTATTCCTTTCCATTTGAGAGTTTCTCTCATAATAATTTTTCCAGCCCATGTGAATGTAGTTCGATATCTTATTGAGAAAGGTGCAAATGTAAATGCTGAAACCAAATATAAAGAGACACCACTTCATGTGGCAGCTGCCTCTGGTAAATCGATTACGAATCTCCATTAAAAATGTTTCTTTCTATTGGAATTTCTTTTATTGTCTTTCCAGGCTATGTGGATATAGTTCGAGTACTTATCGAAAAAGGTGCAAACGTTTTTGCAAAAAACGATGTTGGACAAACACCTCGTCAAAAAGCTGAACAGAGAGGTAATGTTTCTTTGAGTTGAATAAAAAAAATACTTCATTTCTTATTCATCATTTTTATTTGAATCTTTTAACTGACATTGTACGTAAAACCATTTCTTCATTAATGATTCAGGTATTGTTTCACAATTTTGTATGCAACGTAGTTAGATATTGGTAATTTATTATAATTTTATGTTGGAATGTAGGTCATTTTGAACTGGCGAAAATCTTGCGGGAAGCTGAAGAAAACCAAAAACCATAAAACAAACTGAAATTTCAATTATGTTCGAAAAGAAATAATATTGATGAACACGATGACAATTATGAGTCATGATTTATGTCGAATTTCTTTCAATTCAATTGAATCAAGAAAAAATTTCAATTATAAAAAAGTGTATATTAAAGCAATAAAGCGGCCTAGGCAAATAACATAAGTTGAACACATGAAAATATTTTCTACAAACGGTTCCATGATTTTTTCGTGAATTCGTTCATGATTTTGCGAACGTCTTCATTGAGTCACATTTCATCGTAGGGTGCATGTACATGGTCTAGTAGAAGGTAATTAACTACTACTTAGCACTCTTTATGTGACAGCAGCAGTTGTATGACCAATGCCGCTGAATCAGCCATACAAATGCTACACGGTTGCCCAAATTACATTCCAACTAAAGTGATCTAGTTTCCATGCACATGTTCGTGTACGAATTGCTGTTAGCGTAAAAGATACGTTGTTCGCAGTGGACTCAGTTTAGATGTTCTTTATTCCATTGGTTCATTTAGGCAACTTAACTGGCGTACGAGCTCTTATTGAACAGGTTGTTAATGTGCATTCTGCAGATGAATATGGCATATCCGCACTTCATTTTGCATCCGAGCACGGTAAGTTGATAACGTATCTTAAATTATCTGAGCTTTTTACTAGTGTAAGCCCGTCACTATTTTCAAGTTCATGTCTGTTTGCCTGCCTGTCAACGGGCGGGCGAATCGTTTATAAATGTGCCATCAAAAATCGAGTTGTCTATTACAGAAAATACTGCTCATTATCTTTCCAGACCATACAGATATAGTTCGATTACTTATCGAAAATTGTGCTAATGTTAATGCTGAAACCAGAGGCAAAGAGACACCACTTCATAAGGCAGCTGAATATGGTAAATTATTCATATATTTCCATTGGAATGATCCATTTTTTTGGAGTTTCTCTTGTTGTCTTTCCAGGTTATGTGGATATAGTTCGGGTACTTGTCGAAAATTGTGCAAATGTTTTTGCAGAAAACAATTTTAAACAAACACCACGTCAATTAGCCGATCAAAAGGGTAATGTTTCTTTAATTTAACTGGCATTGTATGTAAAACCATTTTTTCATCAATTAAGTACCCAATGTTTCACAATTTTGTATGCAAATTTATTATGATTTCATTGTAATATAGGTCACCTTAAAGTGGCGAAAATTTTTTGGCAAGCTGAAGTCGACGAAAAAACCATTATAACAAACTGAAACTCCAATTATGTTCGAAAATGAAAAAATATTTCGTTAAATTTCTTTCAACTCAACTAAATCGATTAAAGAGTATGCTTGACAATAATAAAGCAGCCTAGGCAAATGGCATAAGTTTGAGCACATGGAAGTGATTTTCTTTTTCGATTTAAAAATGCCGGCTAAGATAAAATTATGAATGTTAAGAGTGAAAATAAAAAATGAAAACATGAAGTCATAACCAAAAAATGTCTGTCGGTTCAACGTAAAACATATGGAAAAATTCCAAATTAATAATCGATTTTCATTGTATCAATTTCCTTTGTTTTTATTTAATCTCGATGATGTTCTTAACAAAACACTGTTATGATAATAGAAATTGGATATTCGACTTATTTTCAAACAATCATTTTGTGTTATATGTAAAAGCTTCTCATGTATAATATATTTTTTTTCTTAGATTTTCATTCACGCATTTTCGCTAGCTTTGCGATATTGTAATGAAATTTCGGTCTCGAAAATACTTATTCAAATCTGATCTTTCTATTTTTCTCTACGTCTTAACTAAACTAAAAACTAATTCCGATCAATTATTGTCATTGTCTTCAACTAATGTCGAATGTGCGTTCACACGGTTTGATGATTTTTTCGTGAATTCGTTCATGATTTTGCGAACATCTTCATTGGAGAACATTCCATCGTATTTATGTTGAAAGAATGCGAAATCGATTAGGCGCATGTTCACAAATGGAATCGATTCGAATGCGTCACCAAATGCTGTTCGTAGATTTCCGTCCGATTTGTCCATGTTATTTCGATCGCAGAATGCTTCGGCCCATTTCATGAAAGCATTGCAAATGAGCAGACTGTCAACACATGTGGCTTCGTCATGTAGAAATGGTATGATCTTCAGTATTTCTCGATGTGCATTCAGAAAGCCAGTTGTTGAGAGAATTTCAATGCCTCCGGATTTGATGTGATCACAGCTCACCGAATAGAGATGGCCCAATTTGAAATTTTGCGACAGTTCAAGCATCCAAAACACATTTGCATCGTTCAATGCATCAAGCAAAGAGTCTTCCAAGTGTAACTCAGTCGCGCCAAACTTCACAGACAGTGCAAGCACCTGGTCAACGAATTCCTTTGTCAGATTGTCAATGGATGGTTTTGTGTAAAATGACTTGAGAAAAACGGAAAACTCTTGAAGCGACGAATCCAGGATGTGAATTTTATTTGTTTGGTCGAGGTCGATGAAAAGCTTCTCAAATGTATGGCTTTTAGCCGCTAAAACACACTTGTGTCCTGCAAGCTGTTGATTTCCAGCGCCGGCAAATGTGAAGAAAACGTCAGTTGTTGCATTGTCGTCGAACATTGTAGCCAGAGATGTGTTGCACTCATACACGCCAGCCGCTTTGTTGGTCGATGCTTGAGGAATCGGAGCCGATACTTGAGGAATCGGAGCCGATATTGATGGAATTCTGAAGTATTTGGATAGGTCACTTGCACGCAGTCTTCCGGCGATGACTTTCGAAATTTGCTCTATTTCATCAATGGTAAACATCTTAACGTGGACGCTCAAACACTGTACAAATTCCCTGGACGACATCGAATGGAATCGAATCAATTTGAAACAGTCACCAAGTTGGATGCGCAAATTTTCCGGTGATTCTGGATCCAGTTGCTCTTTTTCACAGGCATGTTTAGCCCAAGCGATGCACCGTTCAAACACTTTATTCTCCTCTCGACCAAAAAAATCGATGCGAAGTATCTCCAAAAGAGCCTCTTGACTACAGTTCACAAATTCACTGCATAGCATCAGCAAAACGCCCGATATCGTCACCTTACGGATGCATTTTTGTCGCAAAGGCATGTAATTGTACTGGCTGGCCAATGGTAACACCCAAAAAATTGCGTCGAGCATTTCATTCTTGTCGAGTATTTCATTAAGGAAATGCTTGCAAACTTCCTCACACGCAGCTGCGATGTATTTATCCGCCAGATAAGCCAAACCGTGGATATTTGCCTCGGTGATTTCCAATCGATCTTCATAAAATGACCGGATAAACAGCACAAATTCGTCGATGGTGGCATCGACTATTGTCACATCGCCATTTTTCTCGAGAAATTCTTCACCGTAGAACATTTGCCGGAAAACTGGACTTCGATTCGCCAGGATGCACTTATGCGATGGAATCAACTCCTGTTGGCCATTGATGTTGAAAATGAAATTCACATCGGTCGTTGAATAAGTGTATATACCCTTGATCGAACCATAGAGCTGACTAATGACTCGTTGCTTGGGGACTTTGGAATAAAGCCGATTCGGACCTTGATCATTCGAAATGCCAGGCGATCGCTTTCGATTTGGTGACTTTGATGAAACTGACTGCATTTTCAATCAAATGGTGACCTTTGCAATCCTTGAAAACGTACTAAATTGAACAATTTGGTTGTTTCAACGTGTAATCGGTTGCTAATTCACACAATTTACTCTCTATCGCGACAGCCTGAAAACAAAAAATACAAAATGTCAAACTGAATTGTTGTTCATGCTGACACTGCACTAAACATAGCCATTTTTTACAAATAACTCACCAAATGAATGACGTCCTCAAATTTGTATCCTGCAAACAGTTGAATCCCGAGAGTGAAAACGTTTCCGACACCCTTGATATGTATCCAAATAGACCTCTTTTGTCGTCGATTTGAGCCTTTTCCCAAGTATTCACTTTCCAATTTCTATTCAAACAGAGCAATCCCAACACAAGAAAACAATTAGTAAATAATACCCATTCGCTAGCAGTCGACTGTCAAATGAAGTGTCATTTTTCTCAGAACCACTTTGGTTTCTTGACTATGAACTAAAATGACGTTTGTCCTAATTGCTTAGGGTAAAGTTCATTTTTGTTTGAAGTGACTATCGGTAGAAAATTTGCTATCGTTTCGGGAAATTGGCTATGGAACGCCATAATCCTAAACAAAATCCTTATTGGGATTTGTGGAGCTAATGAGAGTGATTCGTTAATCTAATTTTCCGACATTCCCGAAGAAATTTAAATCGACTCATTCCGAGTCAAGCAAACTCATTCAATGGCTCGAGTCATTCAATGGACATTCTTTCGCCTGATTGGATTTATTCGATGCGAATAGGAAATTTAAAAAAAACAGCAAAGAATGAATCGAATAAGAGTATGTTTGAAATATGATACCAATTGCTACAAACCTGGTTGATCTTCCTGCTGGAATAAACCAGCAGAGATGACTAAGCGCACGCTCAGTAGCGTATTCAGCAACTCAACTGAGAGTCGTTTTCTGCTCTGTGCGTTTACACTCACTTCGTTATGAGTTTATGTGCGCACTCTGACTTTGTTGTTAAGAAATGTGTGCGCACTCTAACTCTGTTGCCTATTATGGTTTATACACACATATAAAGAGTTGAGTGTGTATTGTCTTATTCTTTTCTTTGTGTTTCTTTCTTTGTATATCCTCTCTATTGTTTCTTCGTTGTGTACGAGTGCGGTGTAGCGCACTCCGTTGGTGCGCTTATACTCTCTTCATGGAGTGGGTTTGTTTGTGCTGCAGCGCAATATCGCACTGAGCATGTTTTAAGCACGCAAACTCAGTGTCCGTGCGGCCGTTGCTCGGTCACTCGGTGCGCTTCAGTCATCTCTGTAAACCAGTTGCGAAAGAATGCTTCAATTGATAGAGACTACACCCAAATGACGAAAAATTCTTTTCTCTTTCTTTCTTCAGACAAATTCATCGTACACAATCGAAGGCGGTTTCAAGATGAACTATTTAAGCGCGAATTCGAGGATCGAAACAGTCAGATCGGATATTTTCTTGGCCCAAAAGTATTGATTTCTATACCGAATGAATTTGAACGAAATGAAATTGGAAATGTTGAACCAAAATATGTAATTCAATGAGAAAAGTAACGCTAAATGAACAATTTTTAGAGATTTTTCAATTAGAATTAGGAAAATTTATCATTTTCAAACAAAATGAATTGAATCAATTCAATTGTCTAGCAATGATATATAGAAATATTCAAATGTCAAAACATGAATTCACCTGCAACAATGAACAGAGAATTGACAGATGAAAGTATAAACATCTCATTTAATACGCACACAAGCACATTTACAGCCGATGAGACATAAACACCAGTGTCAATAAATGAAGCATTCGATACTTTTATCGCATATTTAAATTGGGCTGAGAGTAATTCTTAAGCAATTTCTAATTAGAGTTTAAATGGTGCGCTGAAAATATTGTAGAGTTGATGACAGAAGGACCGATGGTCACTTTGGTGCAACTGTGAACAATGCTTTAGTTTGATGGTGATGTATTATGCACACACCGAATAGCTTCACACATACATAGAAAAAGAGAGAGCGAGAGAGTGTGTGTATGTTTTTTGTGATGTAGTCCATTGTAACATTTGCTTAGATGTTAGATTAGAGCAACAACACTATTTGCATACGTCAACAGCCGAACAAAAAACATTCAACATCCATATCATCAAATGTGAAACGTCACTCTAACAGCTTATTTCTCAATTTTGCTGCCGAAATTAATTGAATTGGGTTTTGTCACGAATTTATGGAGGAATAATTCAAGGAGAGTAATTTGATCTATCACAAACATTCAGATTATAGCAGGAGCACCAACGTCGATGATTTGTTGAGCATTGATCGGCGATGAGAAAACTGACCATTGATTGACCGAAGGTAAGAATCGAATTTGGATAAGAATATGTTTATTTAGTTGACAATATTGAATGCAAATCAATGAATAGTTGGTAAAATCAGCTGCTGATTGATTTTTTCTGTTCTTTTCTTTCCTTTATTGACCAGAGAAAAAAACATCGTGAGGTAAAACAGCAGTGAAGCAACAGTGAAGCTTCAATAGTGATACCGAGCACCAATCGTGGAGTGAAATAGCCGAGCCTCAAATCGATCAAACCAGCCACAACATGTCCGACATTGAAAATCAACGGGAAATGGCGATGGCATTACAGATTCAACCAGAGATATTCAAGCTAGATGTCGATTGCTTCGAAGAACTGTTCGGTTGGTTATCATTGGACGATTTGCATGCATTTGGACAAACGTGTAAGAGAATGCAGCAAGTAGCTGGCCATTATTTCCGATTGACATATCCTGGAGTTGAAGTGTTATGTCGCAGTGACGGGATTTATTATGGTGCTATTAAATATAGTAGGAACAATGTGAAGATAAACGGGTTTGCTGACTACGTGGAGAACATAAGAATTCACGAAGAAGGCTCTTTCCGTTTCGCCCAATTGAACGAATTCAAATCACTCAAAGAAATTTACTTCTGCCGCATCAGTTTGACCGATGAAAGAATTGCTTGCATCAAAAAATTCCTGGGCAAAGCCGAGGTCATCGAAATGGTAGATTGCGACAACACAGAAGATTTGTATGAACGATTCCTCAAGTACTGTACAGATATGAAGCATCTTAGTGTTAAGTATATCAATGGTAAAGTCCACCCTGAATATGATTGGATGCTTCAACACTATCCAAAATTGGAACAACTCGTGTTACATGATAAAAAATGTCCACCACCACTTGATGAGCAACTACTGACTACGTTTTTCAAACAGAACACGAATATTAAACATTTTGCAGCAAATGAAACATTACTTCTGTTCATCCGACACTCGATTGTGACATCCAACGCAAAATTTGATTCCATGAGCATTTTGTTGAAGACAGACGAAAACGTTGAAATTCGTACTTTGATGAATGAGTTCCATGAACAAGAGATATACAAAGAGCTACATTTATACGTTCATACTCCCAAACAAGGATCTTGTCAAGTTGCTCCAACCGTAGCGGGTACCGTTGAAAAGTTGTCATACGTGATGTTTATTGATGATTTGCGTGTGTTGCATTTGGTAAACTTGAAAGAATTGCAATGTGGTCTCATTCAACCTAATTTGAACATGGAATCTGTTGCTGATGCGTTAGTGAACCTTCAGAGGTTTAGTGTTTGGTTTGCAAATCAAGATCTGATCTTCGCTTTGATTCGTCGTTCACGGAAGTTGTGCAACATTAGTGTTATAAATATGGAGGAAGTTGAACGAAAGCCTGTCACGGTTCTCGATCTGGACTTATGGAACAAAGAACGAGGTAAATTGATTGGAGCACGAAAAGTGACCGTTTACGTCGATGAAAAACTCTTTTTGGCAACTAAAGAAGCAACGCAGAACAAGGACTACAAATGGATCGAAATCAAACGACACTATTCACAGTGTTGGATCAAAGACTATTAGACTTGATCATCATGGCAGCAAAATAACATTTTCCAAGCATCAAACCGATTCAAATACAAAATTTATGTTGAATCAGATTTAATTCAATGTTTATGCTAAAATATTTTTCATTCATCAATTTTTCCATAAAAAATTCACATTATCTTTCTAATTTGAAAAAAAAAATTCAATTTTCTGAATAACCATTAAAGCAAATAATAAAGGGCGAATTTAAAATGATCGATTTAGCATCAATTTCTCTTCTTTGTTTATAAAATTCCGATATTGTCCTATTGATAGCATAATTTATTCAATCATCACAATGCGATGGCTTCTTCTTTGCTGTGCAGATAAGTATTGACAGTTTCTTTGCATTGTTATGACGGTATTGGTTTCGAGATAATGTATAATTCGCTTTAGCTTTACCTACTTCATGCAATGGCAACTGAAAACGATTTAAATTAGCTCTTGACAACTTCCAATTTTGTGGTAGCTAGAAATCGTAAATACAAATCACCTGAATGTGGTTTATTTTGATGAAAAAGTCTAAAACGGTAAATAATACCCACTTGCCTTTATAATAACGTGCAACAATGTTTTTGTTTTCTACAAATTGCCGTTTTACATAATCTTTGATAAGAACTTCAACAAAGATAAGGAAATAAATAGAGTATAAAATAAGTGTGTGCACGCACAGCCAATTCAACAGTTAGTTTTGAATTATTATTGTGGTATTTTACTTGCAAATTCTGAATTCTATGTGTATCGGAGCCAAACATATTGAATCGGAAAGTAAAGAAGAAAACGAAAATTGAATCGTTTGCTTCTTGAACAATTTAGTCGTTTCAATTGTTTAGTTTAAATCGATGAGACAATCATTTGCAATCATCCTTCTAGTTGACGCTTTTGTTCTTGATAGAGGTGTTCACGGTGCATTTAAGCAAATTTCATTGGAATCCAGCCTAGAGGAGCTGATTGTGGAAATATTCTTCCAATGGTCAGCTACGGAACATCTCATTGATTCTGTTTGTAATTCTTACAATTGAAATCCATTCCATTGGTTTATTTAGGCAACTTAACTGGCGTACGAACGCTCATTGAACAGGGTATAAAATGTGAATGAACTCAATTGAAAAGTTCCAAACAAATGAGCTGTCACTTTGGTCATGTTTTTTTTGTTCGGGTTCACGTATTTTCTCTCAAATTTTACCTTTTCCAAATTTATATATGCCATATTGAGTTGGTGTACTGGTACTTCAACAAATGACACATCCAAACTTTGTAGCTACAGACGATGGTACCTTGTTGAAGCGAAGTCAGCTTTCTTCTGTGATACCATATCAGGCGGAGTAGGATAGAATTTAAGATGAAAAATATGACAGAAGCACAGTTAGAATGATCTTTTTAGGCCTGATTGGAAGTGGACCGACTTCTCCATTCTTTAAATTGACCAAGAAAAGGAATACATAGCAATGGATAAAACGACTTGAACGAAAGAAAAAATAGAAACAAATTTACCATGAGGATCGAAATCAACACCGACATTCCCTTTGAATGCTCTCTGGTGAGTTCAGTTCTGATGAGTTGTTTCATGTTGCATAACAATACAGAATCGAGTTTCGATTACATTTTCATTTGTTTCTATCAAGTTGAATTCCACACATACGCTCGATTCCAATTGATGAGTGTACGTTTTTGTTCCTTTGCTAACCACAACTCACGGGACCTGAACTCACTTACCGATCAAATGTCAATCGCTGAAATTCAACTTAAAAATGTGCATCGAATTGCATGCCATGTTTTTTGAGTTCGGCCAAAGACTTCAACGTCAAATTCTATACTTACCCCGGGTGAACGCGATACGCTTTGATGAAAGCCTACAGTCGTTCGATGAGGCTTTCATAATTTTTATATACATTTTAAATACTGAACGCCTAGGCTTTCAATGCTACGAATGCACGAAAGAAGTGAGAATAGCAATGAAAGCCTAGGCGTTCAGTATTTAAAATGTATATAAAAATTATGAAAGCCTCATCGAACGACTGTAGGCTTTCATCAAAGCGTATCGCGTTCACCCGGGACGCTATTATTACGACGATTAAATGTAGAAAAATGTCAAATAAAAATCGCTTTATTCCCAGGTCAGATGAGTAATTCATGACTTTTATTACAGTAAATCGTTAATGTTTGGAACATTGTTCGTCGATATAGTATTTCTTTTCTTTGAATAGGTTCACTTTTCATGACTCGAAAATAGTTGATGTAAGTTTCAGTTTAAAAAAAAATTGCGAAAACATTTGATTTTTTCCCTTAAAAAAATAAGAAATGAAAACAAAAACTTCGAATGTGTTTAAAAGAAGAAAAAAAAATCGATTGAAAATGATTGAATAATGTGTTGGGTAGGCAGAGCCTTAAAATGTATGGGTTTAAAATAGATCAACATTGCGAAGGTAAAGGCAACCGTTTTTAGTATAAACTCGACCTTGGCGAATGTATTTATGTAATTCCCATTCATTGACACGGATGACATCGGATTTATTATTGGTCTTTGAAGGTGATGGCATTAATGGTTTGCCTGAGGTTTGTGGTGGCGGTGGTCGATATGGAATCGGTGATGGATCACGCGTTGAACCCATTGTCGATGCTAAATCGCTATCAGATTGAATCGATGACTTTGATTGTGATAAACTTGACGTTGCCACTAAATTGGTGCCGTGTTTCTGTTGCATGTGTTGGTCATAATTGAATTTTTGAAGTATTTTACCGCACAAATGGCATTTGACGTGACTACGTTGTAAATGACGTTCCATTGCATGTTCAGGTATTCGATTTGGGCAATGACGGCATTTTATCAATTTCCCATTGGCCGTGTCACTTTTCAGCACATCGTCCGGCAATTTGACATACGGTACTCGTTGTTCCATCGAATGTTTACGCTCTTTGTGACTGAGAAAACTCGACGACGGCATCACATTCTTACAAAGTCCACACTGTATGGCCATCGCGTTGGTTCACTACGAAAAACAAATCAACAAACGAAATTTACTATCACTTAAATAGTTTTACATGCATTTTTTTTTATCACTATTTTGACTTTTCGAAGCACAATCGTTTGAAATCAATTTAATACTGAACTGAATTTTCGATTTGTTATTACACATTCTCTTACCTAAATAATGATTTTGCAATATTTTGCTGTCGATTTGCTGAATCGTTGTCGATTTGTTGTTTCAATAAGATAAGCCGCAATAAGTAGTTTTGTTGTGTGCTCGCGCACCAATGAATTATCAAAATGACGAGAATATTTTATTTGTCAAGCTGTTGAATGTCAACTATTTGTTGGTGATGCAATGCGTCTCGTTCTCTCTCTCTCTCTCTCTCTCTCTCTCTCTCCAACAATTTCATAGAACAACAAGCGCTTGTGTGCGTTTTCATAACACGACTCGCAATCTCTGTTTATGTTTTTTGTGCAAAGTTCGCACTGTGAACAATGCTATGCCTACAAGCATAGCCGTAGCTTGTGCTGACGTGTCGATGGCAAACGGTTCTTTGGAATGCACAGCATCGCATGATTTCTTTTTCGGTGCTCTCTCTCAATCTCTTCTCCTTCTTTTTCGTTCACACACTTTCGTTGCAAATGAATTTGGCATTTTTACGACAGTGCGAATGGAGTATATCGATGTGGCATTGCCACACTGTAGCAACCACAGCTGGCTGAACAACAGTAGATTTATATACACACAGACACAATTCCAAGAAGCGACTCATTTACATACTTTACATTCCACTGTAGCAGAATCGTTCATAATTCGACACTTTATTGGCAATAAATTATTTTTCGTTCAGCACATCGACAGTGGTGATGTTTCACTCAGTTCAATGTTGACGATGTGTTTTTTTCTCACTCGATTCAACAATGGCAATGGTGTGTATGTGTGTTTTTTTTCCATTCGCTCAGCACATCGATTTGTTTATTTGTATTGCTTTGTTATTATTGCCATTATTTATGACACCGGTTCGTAGAAGTCGCCACCAATGATGTTGATATTTGTATATGTATTTCCCACAGAGCCGCGTAATTTGATGCAATGCTGTTTTTTTTTGCTTAATCACAATGTTTATTGATCGGTTTGATTCGCGACACATGGATCTGTTTAATGAAATAATGAAATGAATTTTGACCATCGAAAAGTACAATAAATAACATATTTTTCACATGAAATGCAATCCACCGTCTAAATCGTAGCTACTTTCTCTAATCGGATCAAAGCCATTACGAATAATTTTAATGGATGGACCAACTTATGATCCCAATGAGATTTTCTTGGAACAACCTTTCAATCCAAAGCAATTTTAATTACCGAAAAAAGCAACGCAGACAGTTTTGATTTACTTGCTTTTTGTGTGTTCACCATAAGATTTCAGTTACTTACAGTCCTTGTGTCTCTTTCATTACCATAAAATTCAATACTTATCCTTCACGTTAGACTAATGAAGCCAATCACTTGAACCAGATTGAAAATGTATAAAAAAAAATCAAAATGAAGAACTTAGCCAAATCGAGAGCCAAACTCACCTTCCGAAAGACATTCTTTCGGTATACACTGTTTACTAAACAGAATTCCGCTGAAAATGTTCCGCAAAATATGCCCCTGGAAATGTTCCAATTAAACTTCCTATGAAATTGTTTGATCGTTTGAAGATCATTAAGAAAGTGTCTATCAGAACTAAAAATGTCGGCAAAACAGAGAAGTCTCTTAGGAGAAAATCTCTCTTCAAAGAAAAGGTTTCATCATTTTAAACAGAATTTCCCATCTTTTCAAACAGAATAAATCACCGACGGTGATTCACCGTAGACCATGAACAAAATAAGCCTTCTGACGATAGCAATAGGTTTTTATTTTAAAAATATATGTGTTGTTGTGTTTTATTCGTACAATAATGAGTTTTTTTTTGTTGATTTTTGTTGCAGTTGAATTGATTTCAATTATTATTCTTCATAATCAATGATACAATTATGCCTATGATCTAGTCTGAGTAAAATCTTTAGTCAATTACTCACTTTTGCTATGTTCAAAGCTAAAACAATGGAAAAATCAATGGAATTGAATCGATATCGTTAAAATTTTATAAAAATTTCATTCAAGTGGCCACTTCTTTTGCCCAATTTTTTTTCGTTGAATCAAGAAAAAGGAACAATTTTTTGGTTATTACTTGTTCTTCATTCCAATTTTTTTTAAACTCTTTTTTGAGTTGATTTGTTTCTTTTTGAAACTAAAAGTTTTTTTTTTACGTTTTCAATTTTAGTTCGATGAAAGGTATGAAACATTCATATTTAAAAAAAAAAAAATTATTCAAGTTTTTGTTTGTTCTTTAAAATATGGCAAAAATTAGAATGACCTCAACAATGGAACTTTTAGAAAATTCTCGCTAAATCGACTCAATTTTATTGACTTTGAATTGTTTTTGTGTTGAGGAAAATGTTTGGGAAAAAGTGAATACAATTGACTGAAAATTTATCACTTGGCGGTGTTAGATAAAATGAAAATGATTTGAATTGGCAATTGAGACGCTTAAAATGAATCTAGGATGAAAAATTGACAATTTTGTGGAAAATATGGTAAAAATGAAGGGCAATTTTGAACTATGCATGGGCAATTTTAAACTATGACAATTGTGGTTTTTTGGGCGTTATGGTTTGGTTAATTGCTTAATATTAAGTAACTTCATTATGAGAATAAAAATATTAAAAAGATAAAAAATTAAACTTAAGTGCATGCTAAAGATGTACGAGATTAAAACAAAATTAAATGAAAAATGATAGAAAAATCACGGAAAAAAGTGAATGTTACGATTTACGTTTAATTTTATTGGTCAGGTTCCTCTCGTGCGACGAAGATTGCGCCATTTTTGATGAAAATCATTCCATCGTTGAACCATTGAATGACCTGTTCGTCGGTGTACTGTGGCCAAATGATGCCAATGGAGCCTTCGTGCGATTTGTGCTTGCGGAAGAGATGACCGGGCATATAATCGATGTGCATATACGCCGCGCAGTAGTTGCAACGAATGAAATGGTCTTTGTTCTTTTCAGCACCACCAGCATTGCCATGTGTGCGTTCGACATGAGCTTGAATGTGTTCTTGTGGCATTAAATTGCCGCAAATGTCGCATTTCGAGTGTTCATCACCTTCGATGTTCAATGTACCATGTCCAGTATAGTGTTTTCGCAACAGATGACCTTTGAAGTCGTTCTTGTGCATCATGTTCGAACACAATGGGCATTGCACCGAGTTTTTGGGAACATTTTCTTTGACTGATGGCTGCCGGCGCGGTGGATGCTCATCATCATTATCATATTCCGCATTTGAACCTTGCATTTCGGAACGACGAATGTTGAACATTTCGAAAACGGTTGGAATTTTCGGGCGATTTGGCTCGACGCTCATTCCGCGACGTGGTGGCTTTATCAGTGCAGGCATATCGCTTGGGCGCATTTGTGAACTTGAACGATGCATGGATGTTTTTTTTGGAATCATGGTGTCGGCTGATGATTTTCTGGTGGCCGTGGTATCGACTGATGTCTTCTTTGAAACCATGCCATCCGATGATAGCTTCTTGAATGCCATGGCATTGGCCAATCGAGCCGATGGTCTTGCCTCGCGTGGCAACCGTTTTATTGCCTCAGCCGCTTCACTTAGTTCCACCGATTGAACATTGGACACGTCCAATTTCTTTCGCGAATGCTTCACTTTGCTTTCCTTTGTCGGAACATCGGAAAAATCGGTGCTGTAAATATCTGTACCGTTGGCTTTATCAATTGAACCATTGTGATCCTCATCTACTTTTTCGCTTCCTTTGCCAACGGATCCGTTGCGATGTACACGAACTTCTTTTGAACGATGGACGCTGTTGCGGCTGTTCGGCAACAAATCACGGAATGGCTGACGTACTATGGCATCGATCTTTTCATAATGATTTTTCAGACTGTATACCGTACTTTCCTCGTGTTGATCGGATTCACTTTGTTTCACCGTATGCTTCGATGCCATGTGTTCGGCCATCGAATGAAACGGGACGAACATTTCACAATCGTCACATCGAGACATACCATTGCTGCTAAATTTGATGTTTTTCGCGTTCATGTATTCAACATACGACGAATTGTCACTGCCAGACATTTTTACGGCTGAATGAAAAATGGGAAATTAAGTTTGGTTTGGCTTATTTTTATAGAAAAAAAAATTTCTACAGAAAATTGAGTAAAAGTCTACTTTTTCGACATTTAACTAAATTTGATCGATCAAAAAACGTGATCGTCAATTTTTTTTCTCAAATAAATAGGTACTTGATTCTAATTTTCATCACTACGAAAGCAAATTTCCAATGAATTCAATATTAAATTATTCTAATACTTCTTTTATTGCACTGAATTAATAGAGGAAAGAGAAAAAAAATTCTTTCAATCAAAATCTCGAGAAATTCATACGAAAATTTGTATGAAACTCACCTCTTCGTTCAATTTCCTAAGCTGCACAATGAAAATACGTGTGAAAGCTTTGAGCTCTGGACGATGAATGAAATAATGCGAATGTTCACAGCAAGAAGACGTCCAACGCAATATGATTTGTTTTAACGCTGTGACCGGAAGACGATGTGACAGCTATCGACTGTTCGCTAAAGTGAGCTGTTCATCAGTATCACAGCGATGTAAAAGTGATCTGTCAATAAACGGACCAGATATGTGCTTTAGTTTATGAGCTTGCTTACATTTGCAATTTGCATGAATCATGATGTAAACAATTAATCATTTATCAAACATATTTTGTAGAAAATAAGTCATTTTTCAGCATGAATACGAATTTTTTTTTTAATTGAAACTTTTTCCAAATTTTTGAATCTTCGAAAATAAAATTAAAACTATATCTTTCATCATCATATACAATGATGCAATCTGATCCGAATTCAACAGCAGCAGTAGTGTCTGCTAAGGAATCATTGAATGCACAATTTAAGCTTGATGACGCCCAAAGGTGGCGCGCTATAACGAGAGAAAATTGAAGTTTGAAAGTTTTCGCGTTTTTCGAACGTTTCAATGAGAATAAAATGTGAAGTTAATAAAGAGGAATGATGAAAAAATCCAGAAGAATCTTCGAGTGAACCAACTCCATGTGATTTCCATATGATCTGACTATGTTTGTCGGTGTTTCTTGTGGAATCGATCGCAAACACAAATTCACAGTGCTTTCATCGCGAAAAACTTGTGTCTGACAACTGATTCTTTGAGTCAAAGAGATTTAGAAGAAAGAGATTGAATCCATTTTGTTGGAAGATTCAACAAGGAACGTATTCAAGATGAAAGTTGAAGGGATATTTTCAAATCAATCAATTTTTGACTGTAAACTTCACAGTCGGATTCTATTCCATTATTATTGATGAATTACAGACTAAATCTTATAAGCGAGAAAATCAAGCCCAATTCAATATATTCTATTCGAAGTATTTTATTTATTTTATCAAACGTAAAATGCTCGTGTTATGTTTGACATGCAGTTTATGTAAAATAAAAAATATTATGATTTGTCTTGTTCTTATGCTGAAATTATAATTTATGTGTTTGCCTTCAACGAATTTATTTCAAATTTGCCATGCGAATGAATCCGAATTTGTTCCAGTTCTGAGTTGGTGAATAGTTGTTCTTACAGCTGTATTGAACTCCTTGCTGTGATTTAGCTTCAAGATAAGTCTCTTCCATTCACTGGTCCATCCTGAAGCGTTCCAAAATACAAAAAATCCCAATGAAAGTAATGGCTAAACTTTTCTTTTGAAATTCAAAATTTACCAATAACTTTTCCCACATTCCCTACTGCAAAGGTAGGGTGTGTCTTGTGGTTTAGCAGTGTCACAGACCACGCAAAATTTCATCTTTTTATTATTTTCTAATTGGCGATCATATTCTTCTTTGCACCGTTTCTTGGTTTCATTGATGGCCGTCTTCTTTTCTTGGTCTTTTCTTTCAATCATTTTATTGTACTCTGACGTATGTTCAGTTAGTTGATCGGTTTTCGTCTTCAGTTCATCGGTCCACTTCTTCTCCTGTTCATTATGACTAGCAACCAACTGTTCCAAATCTTTGATGCGTCGATCGTATTCGGTGACCAAATGTTTGTTTTCATCTTGCAACTTGGCATTCAAATCACACAAACATTGGAGCGCTTTGTTGGAATTCAGTGTGCTTTGTTGCGATTGTGACATCACTTCACGGCATTTAGCCAAATTCCAGGTTTCAGCTGTACCTTCATCATCATTTGCAATGGACTCGACAACAGGAATATTGGATCCTTCTGTGGATGGCTCATTAATTGAATCTTCGATGGTTTCAACCGTATTCAATTCACCATCGTTTGTGTTGTTGGCAAACCCAGCATCGATTTGTCCATAATTTTTGTCTTTCGGATCAGAGCCATCATCTGATTCCGATGGATTATCATCATCGGAATTGCCATCTGTCAGATCGTCCGATAGGGTCAAGTCAATCGATACAAATTTGTTCTTGCGTACACCTCTTGGAAGCGTCGACATATCGGCATCAGAATGAATTTGGTCTTCCAAAGCGTTGACAGATGAATCGAGGCTACTATCTGTGATGTCTTCTGAAACGATCGAAGGCTCTTGAGAGTTGGCATATCCCGGGATCGCATCGAGGTGGTATTGTTTCAACATCGTTGGGTCAAAAGCAGTCTTGGTATCAGAAAGGTGAAACGAACTAAATTTTGTTCGGATGTTTTCGATGTACTCATCGGCTTTCTAAGAAATAGATAGAAATCAAAAATGAAAGTAAATTTCAATTCGAATCAAAAATGGTTTTTATGATGGGAAGTGGAAAAAGTTTAAGTTCATCAGTCGAAGAAATAGTAGAGTGTTCTTGAAAGTTCAAAATTTAAATCTAATTCAACTCATAAATAAATTGGTGTCAAAAACAAACTCTTCATTAAAAACAAGAATATTTACTTCCAAAGCCGATTCGTAACCCTTCGATGGTCTTATTTTCTTTGATGATGGATTAGTTTTCGAGTACAAAAAGCATCTTCTGGCTGGAACGTTTGCTTCAGTATTTTCGCCAAAGAATCGTACGTTGACCATTCGCCCATCAATTAACATACACTTTGCTGGCCAGTACCCTTTGGATTTACCTACTTTGGCCCAAAGAACGAGGTGTGGCTTCGTACACACCATAATCACCCAGTCCGTCGGATGTAAATTGGCATTCGAATAGCATTCGACGCACTTTTTCACACTTTTAATTTCTACTTTGAGGTATTTTTCCAACTCCTTGGCCGTTTTTACCATGTAGTGTGTCCCTGAAATATGAAATTTTTGAATTAAAACAATGAATTGGTAAAAATTGTCAACACAAACATCCAAATTGTATTATTTTCAATTCAAAACTTTCAAACTAATGATTTTCATATGAATTTACCTGGGAATAAGATCAAGCAGTTGTGAACGATATAGTGTGCATCGGTGAGAAACTCGAAGAAGCTGGTGTATGAGTTAATCTTGTCTTTGATCTTCGTTAGATCCATTGGATTTGCCAAGCAATCAGACATTGCACCTCTCAATCGAATATTTAAAGCACCAAACTGTGGAATAAAGTGTTGATTGAATTGAATGAATTTTTATTTCAAAAATATTTCAAAGGAAAAATCAATTGAATTACCTTCTTATCGTTGATTACGCGGTTGATCATTATCGGCAACATGTCCAACCACTTTTTGCTGAGAATTTATAGGGAATTTTATTTTGTAAATAGAAATTCGTTTTGAATTTAGCGAATGAAATCTTGGTCATTAAAAATCTCAAATTATTTTAACTATAAACAAAATTAACCAATTCGATTACAAGAAAATCAAAGTGGATTTTTTAAAGCATTGCCTTACTCGTCGGTGTTTTTTGTTGAATCCAATTCAATGCAGACGGGACACCGCCAAGCTATTCCATCATTTTCTTCTTCGGATCCAGCACATTTGGAATGGAACGATCGCGGACAATTCAAGCACTTTAACGTTGGATTTATGGCACAGCAATCCCAACAAAATGTGTCATGTTTCATCTGGAATTAAGGTCGAATTCAACAATAATCTTACTGATGTTACTTTGATTTGGTTCATTCATATCTTTCATTGGTGTTTTTGAAATCTTACCAAGGCAGTCATATCGCTGGTGGATTCGTACCGTGTAAATCGTATACAAACAGTGGTCGAGTGGAATGAGGCACTTATTCTTCCTTGAAATAATGTTGAATATTGTTCAATCATTAAAGATACACATCGATCGCGCTACAATCGCTGATTTGTTCATTTTATTTGTACCAAATTTTATTTATACAAAGCCCTCAAGAATCTACGAGTTGGCACAATAATAACACAAGTGATGCGCATTAAACAAGTTAATTCACTTTTTCTCGCTGCTTGTTCATGTCATTGCACAATGCACACACAATTTAGCCGTTCTGTCAGAAGCTGCGTTTGACAGTTGATTCAGTTTTGAGCTAAATGTGATTTTTGGGTGCGTTTAATACTACGCACACATCAACGAGTCCAGTTCCAGTGAATTTAAAAATTAGCTCATCAATTCGAGTGCAGATTAGAATGAAACAAATTGATTGAGTACCATTTGGGAAACTACTATTAACGAACCTATTCGAAAAGAAGGAACTTTTTGAGACGATAAATTGCAGAGTAGACCATTTTCATCATTTCAATTCTATTCCATTTGTGAAAATCGATTTTTGAAATTGTTTATCAGTTGAATATAAAAATAGCTTTTCCATAGTAAAAAAAATGAGCTTGAATAGCAATCAATGAAAATCAATTGTCATGTCTATTTGGGTTTTTATTTGTTCAATGGTTGATTTGATTCAGCTGTTCAGCCAAATTGAATAGAGTTCAAATGAAGTTTACAAACAATTGTATTCCAGCAAAAGACATTCAAATTCTGGGATCATCGTTTTTTGGGTTGAATTCGCAACCGTAGGTAATATGGTGAATGTTTTAAATGAACATTGAAAATGAGAGAAATTTAGTAGCTTGAAACTCTTCTTTATTAACATTGAATATCGTGTTAAGCATAAGAGCTCGGATGGAAAGAATGAACAAAACTAGATTCATTTCAGATTTGAATTCGGTTTGTAATGTAATGTATTTTATTACCATTTTGGGTGGGAATGAACAAAATGATTAAAATGAAAATTGCTTAAAATTTGTACGTAAAATATGAGTTGCATGTCTGTTATCAAGAATGTAACCTTAGTGGTAAGGGTTCCCATTGTAAGGGTTCCTCGTTGTGAGATCGAATATATCCGTATCAATTTGATGCACGTTCCCTGTAGCAAAAGATGAAAAAAAAGAAAGTGTTTTTGTTTGAACTAAAAAATTAAAAATGAATCTCTTCGTGATCAAAGAAAATTGCAAATTCAAAACCTACAAGCAACGTCGCTGGCACTCCATGTCACAAACAAAAATGTCCAATTTTTTTGCTTTGCCACATCCCATACAATACTTGTTCCTCTTTGCCTCCTCGACCGACTGTGAACTGTCTAGTTTGATCCGTTTCACCGTTTGTTTTTGGTCATCGAATAGCCTCTGGTGCTCTTCTTTCAATCGAATTATTTCTTCTTCATGAGTCGTTTTCAATGCTTCAATTTGATTTTCGGTGTTGACTTTAAGCTGTTCATTTTCGGCCAACAACTTTGTATTAGTTTCCACGAGCGTTTTAACTTCCAATGCATACTTCTCCGCTGAAACGGTCAACCGTTCTTTCAACTTGGCATTAACTTGGCACAGACGACCGAAACCTCTTGACAAATGTTGCAATGAATTGTTTATGTCCAAAACACCATCCGGATCATCTTCATCCCCACTGATTTCCATATCATTGTCACTTGTCGTTGAGTCCATTTCATCGTTTTCATCTGTATCGCAATTTCCTCTTGAATCGTCCTCATCGTTTTCAAATCGCCCGGTACTTGGTTCACCAAAAAATTCATCTACATCCTCCATACTCATTGATGGTTCTGATTTAAATGACACAGCGGACACACTTTGTGCCGTGAAATTGTCGTCTAAATCGCATTCATTTTCATCGTGATTTGGTGGAGTCATATGCCCTGGAGACATCGTAATTCTTGAGGTTAGTTTCACAATGTAGTCATTGAATAAGGCCGAATCGAATGGCGTTCTTGGTTCGGCAAGTTCGAATGGTCCATACTTTTCACGAAGATTTTTGACATACTGATCCGCTTCCTGCATGGTAAAAATTGATGGAAAAATTTAGTTATAAAAGTTGGGATAGTTTTTTTTTTGGAATTCACTGTGAACATCATTTACCTCGACCGCTGAATTATATTTATCGTTTGCTTTCGCGTTTTGAGGCTTCCCTGGGCTTTTCTCAGAGTATAAAAAGCATTTATCTGTGGATATATTATCATTTATATGATCGCTGCCAAAATACCGAACGTGGATAGTTTGCCCATCGACTGACATCAGTTTGGCTGGCCAATATCGCATATTTTTTCGTTGTGCCCAAATCATGAGATGCGGCGTATTACAGATCATTGTAAACCAATGCTGTCGTGTCTCTTTTCGATTCGCATTAAAATGACACTCCGCACACTTTCTTACACTTTCAATTTCATCCGAAACCGATTTCAGAAGATATTTTGCCAATTTCGTCTTATAGTGATTTTCTGTGAATTAAAAATTAATAAATAGCTTAGAATGTTAGAATTTTTTACTTAGAAGCATTAGGTCACTGATGATGTTATGAGGACTGAGACAACTGTTGTTTGTGTTTATCAAACATGCTCGGTGCTTATAATACAACCAAAATCGGTTGATATTTTTTTTGAAGAAAAGCCATCAAAAGCTTGTGTTTTTCTCTTAACCAATGTTCTCGAGGGGTAAATCACTCTTTTTGCAATTAATTCCCAAAAGTTGCAATTACTCCATTTTTCAACAATTACTGGTCGGTTACAATTACTTGTATATGGAAAGTAATTGTAAATTTTGAGGTAATTGCGAATGTTCTAGTTAAATTTTCGATACAAAATGTTCGATTGTTCAAACACCTAATAGAAAATGGATGATTAGTTCAAATTTCAACTGAAACTCACCACCAAATAATATGCCACAGTTATGAACAAACCACTGGACATCTGCATGAAATTCATCGAGGCTGGTATACGAGTTGGCCTTTACTCGGATTTTTGGCAGATCAATCGGATTCAAAATATCATCGCTAGCGCAAAAAATATCCTCTTCTTCATTTGCAGACAATTTCATTCGTTTTGACAATTTCATTCGTTTTGCACCCTTGTTCTTTTTCTTATTCAAATCGACATATTCTGACTTCCACAGTCGATGGATAATGATTGGTATCCGTTTCAACTCCGCTTGCCTAAAAACAATTGGAAAATTAAATTGTTGAAGCTATTCGAAATATCCGAAAATGCATTTTATAAAATGTCTTACGTATTTTTGGACGTTTTCAGTTTATTGCAAACGGAACAACACCAATTATCTGCATCAATTGTAGGCTTAACGTCCACATCATTTGCATTCATCGTACAACCAACGTGGAATGATCGAATGCATGATGAACATTTCAAAGTGGTTTCCTTTCCACAACACTTCCAACAATATGCATCATGTTTTTTATCCTGAAATTGAAGTTCATTCAATTTTGTGTCAATTCATGTTTTTATGATTATTTACCATTGTATCGAATGCTTCGTCATTAGCATGGTTTTGATCTCCCGTGCCAGCATCGGGAAGTACATTGGGACTACGATTGTTGCTGTCTCTTGAAGGCTGTTGAGAGTTGGCATATCCTGGAATCGCATCGAGGAGGTATCGATTCAACATCGTTGGGTCGAAGACAGCATTGGTTTCAGCGAGCTGATAAGAACCGAAGGTTTTGCCGACATTTTCAATGTACTCATTGGCCTCCTAATATATAAAAAGAATCCAAAATGAAATTAATAATTAAATGTCTATTCGAATCAAAAAATAGTTTGTATAATGAGAAGTGGAAAAGATTTTCGTTCATGAGTCGAAAAAACCGAAGAGTATTTCTTGAAATTTAAAAATCAGATAGACGTTTGTCTCCTTAAATCAATTCCTAATCATTATCTTTCGTCAACAGAAAACTCTTCATAAATTAGCAAAATATTTACTTTCAATGCCAACTTGTAACCGTCCGATGGTGTTATCGTATTCAATGTTGGGTTGATTTTTGAGTACAAAAAGCAGTTTTCAGCTCGAACGTTTGCTTCAGTATTTTTGCCAAAAAATTGTACGTTGACCATTTGCCCATCAACTGACATACACTTTGATGGCCAGCAGTAATAAAGACCAGCTAATTTTACCCAAAGAACGAGATGTGGTTTTGTACACACTATTGTTGACCAGTTCGTCGGATGTTTTTTTGTGTTCGAATAGCAGTCGACGCACTTTTTCACGCGCTCAATTTCCACTTTGAGGTGTTTCTCCAACTCTTCGGCGGTTTTTAACATGTCATATTGCCCTGAAATATCACATTTTTGAATTAAAAACAATGAAAACAGAATTTTCAATTTAGAACGTTTAATTATTATTTTCACACCAAAACTTACCTGGGAATAAGACCAAGCAGTTGTGAACGATATAGTGGACGTCGGTGAGAAACTCGAAGAAGCTGGTGTACGAGTTAATTTTGTCTTTGATCTTTGTTAGATCCATTGGATTTGCCAAGCACATGGACCTTGCACTTCTCAATGAAACATTGAAATCACCGAACTGTGGAATAAAGTGCGTTGAATAAATTTTTATTTCAAAAATAATTAAAGAAAAATCAATTACCTTCTTAACGTTGATTACGACGTCGATCATTGTCGGCAACATGTCCAACCACTTTTTGCTGCGAATTTATAGGGAATTTAATTTTATTACTAGAAATTCGTTTTGAATTTAGCGAATGAAATCTTGATCATTAAAAATCTCAATTTATTTTAGCTAAACAAAATTAACCAATTCGATAACAAGAAAATCAAACTAGATTTTTCAAAGCATTCAAGTTGTCTTACTCGTCGGTGTTTTTTGTTAAATCCAATTTGATGCAGACGGGACACCGCCAAGTTATTCCATCGTTTTGTTTTTCAAATCCAGCACATCCAGCACATTTGGAATGGAACGATCGCGGACAATTCAAGCACTTCAACGTTGGATTTATGGCACAGCAATCCCAACAAAATGTGTCATGTTTCATCTGGAATCAAGATGAGTTTTTATATTTGGTCAATGGTTAGGTCAAAACAATTGACTCAATAGCCGTAATGTTTTCACTTTGTTCTTTTTTTTTAAATAAAATTTTATCCAATTTCGTGTTAAAGTATTTTGCACGATCTTACCAGGGCAGCCATATTGCTGGAGGATTTGTATCGCACAAATCGTTAGCGAACAGTTATCGATTGGAATGAGACACTTAATTTTCTTCCAATAATGTTGAATATTGCTCAACACTTGATTGGGCAACAATTGGTGATTTACTAAAAAAAAATTTACGCCAAATTGGGTCTATAATTTAATGAATCTACGAATGGAGTTTGTGCACTAATATCACAAGTGATGCTCAATTGCTCATAAAACATGTGATTCGACTGTTTCTCGCTACTTCCTATTCTTCTTTCTTATCCATGTCATTGCACACACAATTTAGCCGTGCTGTCAAAAGATGATTCAGTTTTGAGTCAAATGTGATTTTTGGGTGCGTTCAATACTACGCACACAGCGTGTTCCAGTGAGTATAAAAATTTGCTCATCAATTCGAGTGCAGATTAGAATGAAACAAATTGATTGAGTCTCATTTGGGGAAGTATTACTGAGGGACCTATTCGAGAAGAACGAACTTTTTGAGAGTAGATCATTTTTATCATTTCAATTCCATTCTGTTCGTACAAATGGATTTTCGAAATTCTCTATCATTTGAATCCAAAAATAGCTTTTCTTCAGTAAAAATGAAATTCAATGAAAATCAATTGTCATGTCTATTTTGGTTTTTATTAGTTCAATGGCTGATTTTCAATTCGAAAATCATTTTCAAAATGATTGTTAATAAATTGTTCATGATAACTTTACATATGTTCTAATTCGAATAAGAATCAAACGTATATATTTTAATTGAATATGCTAGCAGTACAGACTCGCTAAACAATTTTCAATTGGAAAATAATTGAATCAACTTCAAATGTTGTCAAATTGGTTTTCGCTACGAAAATTCTTGTTCGATTGTGCCTTGTTGCTGATGTTGCTTTGAGCAAAATTCATTAAATTATCCATCTGCAATCTGAAGTAAAAGAAAATGAAGAAATTTCAGTGACATGAACGAAAATAATGATTAAATTTCAAATTACTGGTAATAACGTGTCCCACATTCCGTACTGCAAAGGTAGGGTGTGTCTTGTAGTTTGGCGTCGTCGCAGCTCACGCAAAATTTCATCTTTTTATTATTTTCCAATTGGCGATCATATTTTTCTTTGCACCGTTTCTTGGTTTCATTGATGGCCGTCTTCTTTTCTTGGTCTTTTTTTTCAATCATTTTATTGTACTCTGACGTCTGTTCAACTAGTTGATCAATTTTCATCTTCAGCTCATCGGTCCACTTCTTTTCATGTTCATGCAACTGTTGATTACGTTCTTCCAAATTCTTGATGCGTCGATCGTATCGGGCGGCCAAATTTTTCTTTTCATCCTGCAACTTGGCATTCAAATCACACAAACATTGGAGCGCTTTGTTTGAATTCAGTTGGGATTGTAACATCACTTCTCGGCATTTAGCCAAATTCCAGGTTTCAGTTGTACCTTCATCATCATTTGCAATGGGCTCGACAACAGGAATATTGGATCCTTCTGTGGATGACTCATTAATTGAATCTTCCGTAATCAATTCACTATCGTTTGTGTTGTTGGCAAACCCAGCATCGATTTGTCCATAATTTTTGTCTTTCGGATCAGAGCCATCATGTGATTCCGATGGATAATCATCATCGGAATCAGATCGTCCGATATCTGTCAGATCATCCGATAGGGTCAAGTCAATCGATTTAAATTTATTCTTGCGTACACCTCTTGGAAGCGTCGACATATCGGCATCAGAATGAATTTGGTCTTCCGAAACGTTGACAAGTGAATCGGGGCTGCTATCCGTGATGTCTTCTGGAAGGATTGGAAGCTCTTGAGAATTGACATATCCTGGAATCGCATCGAAGAGGTAGCGATTCAACATCGTTGGGTCAAAGACAGTCTTAGTTTCAGCGAGCTGATACGAACCAAATTTTGTTCGAATGTTTTCAATGTACTCATTGGCTTCCTAAGAAATGGAAAAATTCCACGAATAAATATCGAATTCATTAAATTCAATTGAATAAAAAATGGTTTATGTAAGACTTTCGAAAGAAGATGGTTGTTTGAGTGTGTTTCAGTGCGTTTGAGTGGTTCAATTATAAACAAATCATCGATAAACTGTTTACCTTTACAGCCTTTTTGTATTTTATGGGTGCTCGTTCGATCAACCTTGATGGATTGGTTTTAGAGTAAAGAAAGCATTTTGCGGCTGGAACGTCTGCTTCCATTTGATCACCAAAGAATCGTACGAAGACCATTTGGTCATCAATTGACCAACACTTTCCTGGCCAGTAGTCCCATCCAGGTACTTTAGCCCAAAGAACAAGATGTGGCTTCGTACACGCCATTGTGAAACCACTATCCGGGTGCTCATTTTCATTCGAATAACAAACGGCACAAATTTCCACACTTTCAATCTCCTTTTTGATATAATCTATCAATTCCCATGCCTTTTCTACCGTGTCGTGATCCTCTGAAATACAAGTTTTTGAATAATCTCAGTTTAAATTATTATTTTCAAATCTAATCAAAAGCAACAAATTTGATCACAAACATCCTTTCAACTACTTCGGAACTAAAGAACCGAAAATCTTTACTTGAAAATTTTACCTGGAAATAACACCGAAGAATTATGAATGATCCAATGAACATCAGTGATGAGCCCGAAGAAGCTGGTGTATTCATTCTTGCTGATTTTTTCCTTGATCGTTGTCAGGTTAATCAGATTCACCATGTCATCTGTTTTCGAGTGATCTTCTTTGCAGTTTAAAGGATCCTTTAGCAAGTCAAACTGTGGAAATAAGTGTTGAATATATCAAATTGATCAATGAATAAAAAATTTAATGAAAATAGTACCGTTTCATTTTTGAATGCCCAATCAATTATGATTGGCAACATGTCCAAACGATCTTCGCTGGAAATTTAAAAGAAATTTGGATTCATTAGTTTGAGTTCAACTAATAAAAATGCTGAAATTGATATTTTCTGTCGGAAAAAAAATCCAACCATCTAGAATTGCTTCAAAACCAAAACCATGTCCTTACTTATTCGAATCCAATCTGATGCAAACGGGACAACGCCACATTCCAAGGCTACCAATTTTTGTTGTTCATTTTCCAGACATTCGGAATGGAACGATCGCGCACAACTTGAGCATTCCAATGTTGTAGCTTCGCCATGACAACGCCAACAATATTTATCATTCTTCACCTGGAATTGAAATAGAATTTCATATCTGGTCAAGTGGTCTACTGGTCATTTTTGGTTCATTGATTTTTACAAAAAAAAACGGATATAATTTATATCGAACATAAATATATTTTCCTCATTTCTTTACTACATGGAATATCAAACACTTGAAGAAAAAATCATTGAGCGTTTGAATAGAACGTTTGAGTTTTAATTAAAATGTGAGTCCAAATCCTAATATGATTTTTTCGCAAAATATTCCGGCATTTGCACAACAACACATTTTGCCATTGTACACAATTTCGATATTCTACCTGTTTCCCCATGTTACCGCAAGAGATTGTACCACGAAATTGCACACGAACAGAAACTTAGTCAAAATTGATTGCTGGTAGGCTTATTTTATTCTGTCTAATAATATCAAATATTGATTAATTTCACCAGATTCTCTAAAATACACAGAAATTATTTCAATTTTGTTTATTCTGCATGCAACAGATCCAACACCTTTGCATCACTGCCAAGGATATACTAAATGTGTGTGTCAACGAAAACCATGTGGCGTAGTGTCATACCCAAATTTTGCGTGCGTTCAATACGAGAGGTTGAAATTGAGTGTTCATACTACTCATCGTAACACAGTCTGTGACTTTGAGCGGGAAATGTATTAAATCCTATTGGAACAAGATGGATCATAGGAACCGATTTTCGTGGTTTTATCAAAAGGACCACAATCACTTGCTTCGTTCATTTCAGAATGAACATTTTCGAAGAAACCAATTCTATGACATTTATTCACAAAACGACCCAAAATCAGAACAATTTACTTTTGTTCAATGATGAATTGAAAACTGAATCATACAGTTAATTTTTCGCTAGTAAACCAATGAATTCAAACAAAATCCAATTAGATTTTCTATTCCAAATGCTTTATTTACTTTATTACACAAATATTTTAGGTTAATCCTAGGTTAAATTGACCAACCAATTTCTCAATTTATTTTCTTATCAACGAATTTTCGAGTAACTCTTTCTATATCAGGCAATTGGTTACAAATTCCATTGGAAATTCTCAAAGATTTAATGCATTTTCATTTTTTTGCCCATTGGATCACAGCCGGGAGCTTCCTAGAGATGTTCAATTAATGCCAGATGGCTTATAGAACAATAGTGCAAGGAAGAACAGAAAAAATAGTTCGAATTTCAGCCACAACAGAGCCCTATCAAGGGTGCTTTCGTCAATCCCACTTGCTGTCTTTGGCTATAATTGGAAAAGTTCTTTACAAGTTTTAAATAATTTTGTCTCTTTTTTTTGGCTTTCGTTACGTTTTAATTTCATTTTATTTTTTTCAGCTTATTTTGAAAATGTTATTTTTGTTCTTAATCCATTTAGTGCTTGAGAAGATAATGATTGGTAGTTTCAAAAAATTGATCAGTACGGTCACTTAATGTAAATAAATTCATTTCTGAATGAAATCATTCTTATGTTTGATCTGCTTTCTGGGTATGGAAAAAAATTCTTATTACTGGTTATGAAAACAAAACTCAGACTGAGTTACTAAATTACGAGAAAAAAAAATGAGAGTTAACTAAACAAAAAAAAAGTTGGTTGCCTTCAGTCAATCTCTCAGTAGCGTAATTTCTTCTGAAAGCGATGGCTGAGTAAAATGCTGTATACAACGTATGCCCAGCCAACTGTGTGATTCCATGGCATACGTCCAAACACATTCAGCACATCCAGGATGCGATCGTTGAGTTCTTTGCGTTTTTCTTGGTTGTTGCTAACCAAATGTGCAAAATTTTCTATGACAAAATTCTCGGTCATTTCCGATCCGATTCGATCGTAGAGTTGAGTTGATTGTTGCTCAGCTGGCATCCATGCCTGAAAACATCGTTCGCACATGCATTGAAATCCATGCTTCAACAGTAAGATGTTCTGTCGTTCTTTATCACTTTTGAGAACATCACAATAGCTCACTAGCAGCTGTTGTCCCTTTTCAATTGGTCGCATGGCAACCACAATCACCGAATTGCCGAGTAAAAATTTGGCTGCATTCGGTGCACACTCATGGTTTAAATAAGACGCAATGGGTGCTGTAATTTCGACGCAACCACTTTCGCCATCGTCATGAGTTTTCGTTCCAAATTTTCTGATCACCTCGATGTGATGCAAGATCAAGTGTGACAAAAAGCGTTGATGTTTCATCGATCCAAAGAATCGGCCAATATCATGGTTCAAAAAGGCCGTCTTAAGGGCCAATGCGGTTGGAATCAATTCATTCTTGAGCATCGGCTTGGTAACAAGTTGTAAAAAAGCGCGATACTTTGATTTCAAATCCGGAATCGCGTCTGGAATTGTTGGATAATCAATTGAAGTGGCCGCTTCAACAAAGCTCATCAGCTCGTCAACGTTTGAAAAAATTGCAATAGCACTGAGAATTGATCGAACTACTTTAGGAAGCCAAGTATTACCATCGGTATTGGTTGTGGACTGCAGCTCACATTCGATTTTGTGATATTTTCTTCCGACGCATCGCTTGCAGAGCATGGCTTTCGTGCATCTGGGACATGGTGTCAAGTTGGTGTCGCCAGTCAAGCAAATGCAACACTTTTCATAGTATTCCGTTGTTGTTGACACAAATCCTCTTTCGATTAACACAATTTGACCGACACCAATCGCTTCCTTAGCTGTGATATGCCGACCGTACATTTCGTTGAAGTCAATTTGCAAAACGTTTGCCATTTCAGGGAACAGTGGATCCGCTTCAAAACTAAGGGTTGGCTCAACTTCAATCATTGGCTCAGTGCGTTGAATCATATATCGGCACGATTCCTTGTGTTTCTCGAGCTGTGGCATCAATTGCTGTGGCATTCCCGTTTTTTCGGCTAGCATCAAGTCAGTGCGACATTTTTCGTACATGCCCAAATTGAAGAAGCATTGTGCCCGTTTCGCATAGCCAATTGGCATTTGGATTGTTCCACTTTTTGCATGACATATGCTTCGATTGTACCAGATACGTGCGTCTTGCCATTTCTTCAGCATGAATTCGATGTCACCGATCTCACGATGCTCAATGGCTGATTGATTGTTTTTGCCGCTCAAACCGATAGGCGATGGATTTTTGCCATTCGATCCGGTAAGCGAAGGGTTCTTCAAATTCGATCCAGTTGACGAAGGACTCTGGCCATTGTTAATACCATTCAACTCGACGGAAGTAGAATTTTTATTCTTCAATTCAGTTGATCCCGCATCGTGTTCAATTTTCTTTGTTGGCAACAGTTGAACGAATGGCGGTGTGTTCTGTTCATTCCATGTGAATTGTGCCAATAACGAACGCTTTGGTTTCGGCTGTTGAAAAATATCCACGTAACAAGCATGCGGATCAGACGATTCCTTTTGCCACAGTTCATACTTTGGCACCTTTGGAGTTGTGAATTTGGCTCGATTGCTCTTGTTACTCGGCTTTAAAATGCTGTTCGACGACCCTTTGAAAATGGTTGCCATCGGTATTTTTGGCTCCAAATCATTTTCGTCCCAAACAAACGGCGTGTATTCAACGGATGGCGTTTCCAAATCAATTACATCAATGGTCTCTTCGAACTCAATCAGCTCGGCTTTGAATTCGAGGAACTTTTCGAATTCTTGTGCCGCTGTCGAAGTCACAGTTGGTTCATCCAACTTTTCTTCTTTGACCGTTGTTAGCTGTAAATTGGATTTGGGTTCCATGGATTTTTCTTGACCGATGGCATTTTGCCCGGGGAATCTTGAACCTTTCCGTGATGGTCGTCGACGTGGCTTTTCACCGAAATGTGCACGTCTGTGAACGGTCAGCGACGATGCACTTGAGTATTTCTTTGGACATTGGTCACAGCCATATAGTTTAATACCTGTATGAGTAGGCATGTGTGTCTTTGGACAAAAGAAAGAGAAAAATGTGAAGAAAATATTTACAAAATGCTTTGACCTTACAACACAATGAAAAAATTCAACTTTTCAGGTTAGAAATCATTAAAATTAGGTGTTAAAATTACCTTCAATCGGCAAAAGTGACGAAACCATTTGCCGCACAAGTAACATGAGTATTGCGCATTGACCGGTAATGAATATTCACTTCGAATGGACACGGCCTTTCGTCGTGGTGATTGGATTCGACGTGCTGGCATTGGATCACGATAATATTCCATGAATTCCTCTTCAATCACCTCGGTTTTTATCTTCGTCGCTTGATTTTGAATGGCCTCCACATCGATAGGTGGCGGTTTGATGTAAATGGTTTCGATTTTTGGCTTGAAATCGAGTGTGATCCCGTAATCTGGCTTGTAATCCATACATTGTTGCTTTGAAAAGGATTGATGGTTCGGTGTGTTTCGATCATTAAACATTGGCTGAATTGATAGAGCTGCTTCAGCTTCATAGAATGTTGTCGGTTCACTTTTGATTTTCACCATTTGATATCGGGTGTTGTATGGTGATCGCTTCACTGGACTCACATACTCATCCAAATCAATGTAATCCGGCTTCACTTTGCCGTTTCGCAAATTCATGTTGGCAATTTGGCGTCTGGAATTGAAAGAGAATTTTAATTTTTGAAGGAAATTCGATAAAAAGTAATTTTTAAACGATTGGACATGATAGATTCTCACTCGTACTTTCTGTCGATGCAACGACGGGTCAACTTTTAGCCATAAAAAAGTTGAAAGTCAGAATTAGGACAACAAAACTGGATTGAAGAATATGGTGGAAATTGTTTTTTCAATGAAAAATATTGAATAAATAATGAGATGAAAGAAAAACTGAATATAACCCGGTATTTTTGACTCACACAAAAAAGGTCGGAAATGACGTTCTGCTCCACGTGTTCGATTACGCAATGATGCAACAATCCTTCTTACAATGTAATAACTTTTGTTGGTTTGTTTTTGAGGTTTTCTTCAAGTCATAGCATAAACTGATCCTGTAGCACAAATTGATGATGGAACATCTCTTCAATAACTCGAAATATTTATTTAAATATTTAAACTTTGCCCTCTTTTTACGTGTTACAATGAAACCTTCGCAATACGCACAATTCCGTAGAAAAATGGCCGCACGCTACAAATATATTAAATATGCTTTGGTAGTCCTTGAACACAGTTTCTTATAAGACAATCGGCGTGAGTGTGCGTGCATGTGGCCAACACGGGTTCAGCGTCAAATTCGAACGGGTTTAGTGTCGATGCTGATGCCGATGCCGATGTGTTGGTATTGTCTAACGAATGTAGTGTGTTATGAGAAGAGTGATGCGGCGTGGTCCATGTATTAGTTAGAGATCAACAAGCAGCTATAGAGTTTAAAGTGTGTGCCGAAGAGGTGACCAGTTCACAGTGGAGACATAATTCTCCAGTGGAAAATCTCCAGACTGTATTTTTCATATAAAATTCATATTGAATTACTATGAATATATAAATAACTATTTCATGTTTGAATTTTGCACACAGATAGGGTAAAATGTATCGATTTTAATGAATCTTTCATCTTGAAAGGAAATGTAGATAACAAGTCGTAATTTAACACACTTTGAACAACTTTGAAGAGTGCGTAAATGTTGGAACTTCATTTTAAAATATAAATTGCTGTTCCTATCACGGCATTATCGAAATTTACAACGGTTTTTTTCGTATTAAATCCGCATGACATCAAAGATCAAATATTTTAGAGGAAAAAGAAAGACAAAGATGAGATTTGGAAACTTTTTCATAAGAGAACAACACGAGACTCTGAATCGTTCAGAATTATTTTCATTAGAATGTGTTTATTGTTAAGACTCGAACTTTGAATGAATTTCTATAAAACGACCGTTTAATAGTTCGCTAGATATAATATGGATAGTTGGCTATCTTGCTTAGAAATTCAATTCAAATAAGTTCGCCCTAATCAATTTTCCCAAACTCAAAGAAAATTCTGCTTTTGATAGTTTCATAACTCATTGCACTGTCCGACAGCTATTTGTGTGCTTCTCTAAACTGCAAACTATATCGCACCAAAATAAACCCATCACAGTTCGTGAGATAAATGGAATTACATACCAAGATGTACAATTTTCAAACGAACTGAACATTTGTAGAATCTTGGTCAATTTTTCGAATTATTCCAAGCTAAGTTCGATTTCGGATAAGTTAGCTGCCATCTAAATTCAATCACTTGATGTTTTCGAAGTAGACATCAAGATTGTAAAAGCAATTATAAAAAGAAGAAAATGGAATTATGGAAAAAATGGGATTATTTAGCATAGCCCAAAGTGAAACATTAAGTCTAATTCAAAAATGCATGAACGTTTCAATTTTTAGTATTTGGACAACATAGTCGTTCATGCAATTTTTGCTCTTCCAAATATTTATACTTTTAAATCAATTCCACGATCTGGGACAGCACAGAACTGGCTGCCAGATTATTGTTATCATTCAAAGTCTAACTGTTTTTTTTTCAAAACAAATGTTCTCGAAATTCACAATGACAACAACGACCAAGACAAGAATAACAACCACACCAAATACTTACGTCTTACGTCACCATTTGGTTTAACATAACCTCTCTTTGACTTCATACGAAAATTAAATCCCAAACAAGCAATCATTTACACAAGAATTGTCGAACAAAATTTAACTCAAAAGTCTGTTTCGATTTTGTTTATTCGTTTTTTTGTAAATGAAAATTGACAAAAGTAAAATAGAATTATTAGCTTATTCAAGAGCTATGAATATGAAAAATGTATGCTATTTACTTCACGAAATGTATGGAAACTTATGTGGTCAATAATGTGACAAATGAAATGGCTCAACTATAGACCCAGCAAATATGAAAGCTGAAAAAATGTATGAGAAATAAGAAAACCGATCGAGATCAAGTTTAATTTGAACGAAAAAAAAATGTTTTTAAATCTATTTGTTTGAATCTGGCCAAGAACTACCAAGATTAATTTATCTTTGAATGAAAATGTTTAATAAAAAATCGTTATTCTCTGAAAACTGTGTTTTTGTGTGATTCGAAGTGTTCTTCTACTGGTTCACTGGCATCGCTGGTTCAATGCTTCTGTAGAAAAGTGTTGGATTGTTCGTATTTCGATTTGGTAGCACAGTAGTAGCACAAGAAAACCGTATCCAATACATCGTCCCACTTCTGATGGCCGTATTTATTGAGAAATCTTTCGGCACATTTCACGAAATCTTCGCAATTTGCATCGTCGTACCTAGTATTGCTATTCAACTGACGTATGATGAATTGAAAGTCTGGATCGGCAGCCCTTCTGGGATCTCGTATAAAAACATTGGGTGTGCTCGTTTGAAATTCGCATCGTTCACAGTTGCATTTGTGTCCAAGTTCGTCTTGCATCGCTTGTTGTCGTTCATCGACACTGTTCATCAGGATCATTTCGTTTTGTGACAGTAATACGGGTTGTCCTTTTGTGATGGGTCGTACACTGACCATAACCGCGTATCCATCGACTATTCTGAGTGTAAGATGTGGAGCACATGAATGGCCAAAGTTTGTGGCAAGTAGGAAAGTGAAATCCGTTTGTTCGGTGTCATCATCAAAACCAACTACCGTTGAGCTGAGTCCACGTGATTTCAGCGCACTGAAGTGATGAAACACCAGATGCATGAGAAATCGTTGATGTTGTTCGGTATGGAAATACTGGCTGACAGTGTCATGACCCATTAGCGAACTGTAATTGACGAATGCCATTGCAGTGTCTTCTTTCAAATTGAATGAATCGTGAGCTAGATGCAAAAATCCGCGATACTTGCTCTTTTCGTCATTGATTGACGGTGGAAGTTTGGATAAATCGGTGGCAACAATCGGTTCGATGAAATTCATCAACTCGTCGGCATCCTCAAACATTGTCATCGCCAACAAAATCGAACGGAATGTATCGGAAACGGGCGGATAATTGTCACAGAACAACACTTGAGCATCACATTCGACTTTATGTAAAATGCTTCCGTTGCAATCTGGACACATTAATACCTTTGAACATTTGTTGCATGGTAACAAATTGGCTAGGGTAACCGAACAAATGCAGCATTTTTGATATGACTCGATGTACGTTGAAATGAAGCTCTTCTCAACCATCACAATTTCACCGACTTTTATGTCTTTCGTAGCAACGATATACCAATTGGCATCAGCATCACGCATCATTTTCAACCCATTCGCCATCTCTGGGTATTTTTCACTCGCTTTCAAACTCAATTTTGGAACAATCGACACGGTATCCGCTCCTTCGGCCATTCGCTTCAAGCATTCAGCCTCACGCATTTCCAATAAGGCATACTGTTGTCTCGGAAAATTCGAAAATCGCGCCAAATCCAAGTCCAGCAAACATTTTTCGTACATGCCCAAATTGAAGAAGCATTGTGCACGCTTTGCATAACCAATTCCCATGTGTGACGATGCAACTTTTGCCAAACATAAACATCGATTGTAAAATTGCATCGCTTCTCGCCAATTTCCCTGCTGGAACAATGCATCGCCTTGCTTGCGATAGACTATCGATTGTTCGTCACATTTTTCCGAACTTACGTGCATATTTATCATTGTCTCGGTCATATGGTAATACTTTCGTTTTTCTTCGCCGAAGATAAAACGCATCTCGGGATTCAATTTGCGAAAAATATCCACGTACAAAGCACTCTCGTGGCGAGTCTCTTTTTTCCACAGCAAATCCATAACCTTTTTGCAGCTGTGTTTTCCGTTGAATTGATTCTGAAAGTAGATGAGAGTGTTTGCTTTTGAATTCGGGCATTTTTTTAAAACTAAATTGTATTAATGAAACTTAGTCTGAACCCGAATCCAAATGAATAGATCACGATTCATTATGTCAATATTTGATTGACTTTTGATACCAATCTCTCCAAAAGAGATTCCTCTATTCATAAAAATATTTGTTAGAAAGAAAAGAGTTCTCTTTCCAAAAAAAACCAAATATTTTTCAGCATAAAATTTAGGCTTTAAATATTTATTACTTCAAAAGTCTGATGTGTTCTTATAAATCGATATAAAATTCGTAACCAACCTTGAACCACAAATGTTAGTTTTGCATCAATCTTTGCTTTGAATTCAGAAAATATTCCGAAATTTGGCTAGAAAATACGTCTTACGTCAACAGAACTCTCGTTGAATAATTTATGTTTTACCAAAAATCAAATGACTGGTTTCAATTTTCCGATCAAAACACTTGTTTGAATTTAAAACGATTGATTTTCGTTTAGTTTTTATCAAGATAATAAATTTTCTTGTTGGAAATACAACAATCGTCTTCTTTGGAATGAAAAAACTCCTTTAGCTGTTTCGCCATTGAGAAGTTGACATTTGACAGATCGCTCGTGCATAATGAATACCAACGAAAGCAGCGGAACAGCGCTAAATCACGCGAAATTCACGCGTTTATGTCATTGATGAACAGACTCGCTGTTTACTCATCGATGGATGAATCCAGAGTGCGTTCAGAGCAGCATGATGCATTTTTCGCCGTTTATTCGAAACAATTCAAAAGAATTCTCGTAAACTTTCCACTAGACTTTCTGCCTGTATTAAATAGAACTATAAGCCAAGGAATAATGAAACAATTGATTGGAACTAAAGTATTCTAGCACCACATTTTAGATATAAAATTAAATTTTGCATAAATATGCGGAATATTTTAGAATGTTCTAAAAAGATGCCAAGGCACATCAAGATATAGTCTCCAATTTGAAAAATTCGTCGAAGTTTTTTTGAAGTTGAAGTCAATTTGGGAAAAAGGTGAATATTAAATTATTCAAAAATATTCTTATGGCAAATAAAGAGGAAGATTAATTGAACAAGAGTTTCAGAATTATTTTGCAAAATTTTTTATTGGTATATTCGTTGTGCAATGTCTGAGTATGCTGAATGCTTATAATATATTCCAATGCAATACATCAAATGCATAGACAATATTTTTGACGATATGATTGAACTTTCGTAGACGATTTTCTAAACTGAAATTCAAGTCGAATGGCTCAGCCGATAAAATGCCTCGAATTGGATGAACATTTTGAACTTTTGCAAATGGTATGTCCCACAGATCCATCACAGCCCCCCTGAAGTTGTGCAGTTTGATTTCAACAAGTGAATTAGAGCAATAATCATTGAAGTATTTAGTCATTCGATAGCCTGAGTCGGATTATATCGTCCGTGATTGAACTTTAGCTTTGTAATTAGATGACCGAAATTACGCAACACTTTCAGTGCTAATGAATACTTGACGACGTCGATCGAATGATCGAAAATACATAGTGAAATTTATTTCAGTAAGCATATGACCCGTGAATCGAATCACAGTCTCGTGCATTTTGAACTTCAGAATCAATCGCATAGGGTCGTATTACCAAGTGACGACATCGAGGGCCCATGAATTGGATGAACAGATTGCATCATTAATTGACGAAAGAAGACGTTTTAGTTCAGAAAAATTCGTGTAAATTTATAGCGTCACTGAGAACAATCAACATTTGCTGTTTGTCATGTAAATTAGGCCGAAAAAAATACATGTACTACATAAACATATTTCTCAAAACGAAGAAGAAAAAAATCCAAGCACAAGATATATTTTTGTATTCCAAGCTAATCAAAATGGTTGCCTTTGACTCAAACCATTTGAATACACAAAATTCGTTGAGTTTCTAAAATATCAACCCAAAATATTCCATTTATTTCTTCCCACATCACATTTTGTTTCCATTATTTGCGATCGAAATACGTTTCCCAAGAAAACCTTCTAAAAAAACTGTTTGTTAAATGTTGACGCAATAGCATGTGATTTTGAATACTCCAGATGAAACAAATAATTCAATCAATAGAACGCGTTAACGTATCAAAATGCGTGTTGAAAACATTATTCACACGATTTATTTCTGCTAAACATGTTCTTGTTCTTGTGCGTAAGTTAACCCGAAGTAAATACCTAGCATATGTTAGACTATTACTTCCAGAGTAGCCTTAACAGATTTCTTTCTATTTAATTTGAATTTATTTTTGCATGTACAAAAGTGTTCGTTTTTTTAGAAAGAACAACAACCTGTATTAGCTACCAGTGCTTTATCATTTTGACTAGATAGATGCAGATTTGTAAATATGTAAACAATCGTTTCATTATTATTATTAATTTTGGAAACTGTTTTATTGTTTCTGAAACGCAAAAAAGCACTATTGAATAGCAGCGGCTGGATAGCCATCGTACTCAATACTATGCTTACACACCCGTTATATCATTTCTAAGCTAGTAACTTATCATGGTGGCGCATGACGAATGTTCTAGAGCAATTTTGTGAATGAAACTGTGTAAAATGATAGCAAAAAACACAGATTTTTTTTACAAGAGTATAAATAAGCTCTCCGCGTTTCTAATGATTAGTTGCTTTTAGTAATTCTGCCCTGTGAAGAAAGGAGTTTTTCGTACTGAAAATAGTAAATTCTGAATTCATTGAAGTATATGGTTTGGAGATGGTTTGATCGAATATGACTGACCCGAGACCATTACTGCATTAAGCTCTGTCGATTCAGACAATTCAATTTCTTATCTAAAATTGTTTCAACACAATTTGAAATGGAGCTCAGAAACTTTTACTAGGCGAAAATTTGGTCTAGATTCGGGCGTTATCTTCAAAATTTTCTGTCCAAATTTAGTGTCGAATATAAAATGTGAAAATCGAGTGAATCTCATGAGTGGTTGAACTTGTAGTGTGATGTTATAGTCGCCAATTTGTCCATTCATAAATTTCCTTTTCATGGCTGAAAAGGTCATTTCCTTTTTGTTCTCCTTCTCATTCAAAAATGCTTCAATACATTTTTAGCAGAATAGTTCAAAATTTAAATCCGAAGTTTTCTTTGAACACATTTACATTGTGACGTTCAAATGCGAAGTCAAATTCAAAGTAGTCTTTGAAAAGAGTTGAAACTAGTTTTTAAGTCATTTTCAATTTGATTGAAAAGTCTAATTTTCGGTCAAATATGTCAAATTTGCCGACGATTGAAAACAAAAATAAAACAGTTGACTTCGCGTGCAAACATTGTATTCATCGTAAAGACTTAAATTCACATTTTTTTCAAACATCTTCTAAAAACTACATATTCATATTGTTCAAGCCAATTTTCGGTGTAAAACGTAGTTTTTCTCATTTAAATCATCTATTCTCTCGAATTGTATAGTAAAATTGTTCCTCACAAATCGTTGTCGATTCACAAATTGGGTGAAGAAACGAGCAAACCCGTTAAAACTTCCGATAATCTTCCCAGTGGTTCGAATCAAGCTTCACCAGAAGATTACACTGACACCATACCAAAGGGAATACACCTAAAGTTCGAAGCACATGACGGTGAAGTGAATGCAGTGTGTTGGACTCCTGCGAAATACCTATTTGCAACTGGCGGCGCTGATCGAAAGGTGAAAATGTGGGATGTGCGATTGTCCACAATGAAGCCCTGTGTAACGTTCGTTGGAAGCAATGCGACGATAAATTCCATTGAATTTGATTTGAAGGGTTCGTTGCTATTGACAAGTTGCAATGACTCCACTAGTCGATTGTGGACCGTTGCCGATAAAAAGTTGAGGCACACTTTGTCGGGTCACAGCAAAAAGGTGATGGCGGCCAAATTTTTGGGTGACGCTTCGAAAGTCATAACCGGGAGTCATGATCGTACATTGAAAATATGGAATCTACAAAGCAAAGCTTGTGTTAAAACCTTCGTCACTGCGTCAAGTTGCAATGATTTGGTGACCGTTTACAATGACATCTTCATCAGCGGTCATCATGATCAAAAAATTCGATTTTGGGACAATCGACTGAAGGGGCCAACGAATGAAGTTGTTGTTTCAGGCCGAGTCACTTCGTTGGACGCATCAAAAGATGGCCAGTATTTATTGAGCTGCACACGCGATGACACAATCCAAATGCTTGATCTACGGACACATCAAATCATTCGAACATTTAGCAATGAACATTTTAAAGTTCCCTGTGACTGGTCTCGATGTGCATTCAACCGTGATGATGACTTTATTGCGGCTGGCGGACATGATGGTGAAATATTTATTTGGAACATCAATGGGAAATTGGAAACAATCCTCAAAGGATCGTCGGCTGCAGCAGTAACGGCCGTTTCATGGGATCCATTCAGCGATTCACTTGCAACCGTCGATCGAGCCAAATCATGCACCATTTGGGGCAATGCATGCTAGATTTGGTAGCGATTTTTGAAATAATTTTTGGTGGCAATCAATCCAATTGGAGGCGATTTACTCAAAAACATGTCACTGCACTAATTTGAGTAGACTTAGAAATGATTTTTCTTGGGGGTTAGTTAAAATCAGAAGAAAATAAATTTTTCACTTTTCGTTCACTATATTCGAATTTGTTGTTTTCTCTTCTTTTTCTTTTTTTTTATTTTCATTAAAATAGTTTTGTTGTTTACTTTGTTCAAAATAAGTGATTTTATCTCCGAAATTCGAGTCAGACTGAAAAAGGTTTGGTTTCAATTTTGATACGGATCCATATTTGAAGTGATTCAAAGTGACGTCCCAAAGTTTGAAGTTTCATGATTATCGAATAATAAACACAATTCCAAAGTACTGATTAGCCAACTCCAGCTAGCATTAATTTCCTATTGTGTTCCGAATTGATTGATTGATATCTCTATATACTATATATAGATATATCTTCATTGTAATGAACAGTGTTCATTTAACACTTGAGTTGGAATAGAAGCAAAAACAAAACATAAAACAATGTGAAATTGTTAGCTCGCTTAGGTGATAAGGGAATAGCAAAAAAGGAATCAGCACAGACAGACACGATAAAAATAGATTTAATCAATTTGATTTCAGCTAAATATCAATCAAATTATATTTGGAATAAAAACAAAGAGAATAAAAACAAGGTGTGCTTGATGGTAAAAATGGAATAAAAAACAATTTGAAATAAAAATTCATTTTTAATGAAGATTTATTGTACTCTGTCATTTGAACGTTATTTTTGTTCTCTCTATTCCATCATTCTAACTAATTACTTCGACCATGTCAAGCAATTTATGTGTAGAAAATGAAAGTGGAGTTAATTCCATGGTTGCGTTGTGATTCAAGTTTGAGGGTGATTTCACGTTGACCTAAATCTCCTTTCAAGAAGATTACATTGATTGGATGTGATTTGTAGTCCCAATGCTTGATTCCGTTAATTGGATATTGAGATGGTCCCTACACGAAAAAGAAAGATTATGTAAATTAGAATTTTCTTGAAAAATCCTATTTTATATATTTTTCCATCACGTAAAGAAGAGCGATTCTACTTCAGTGACCATCTTTCACAATTTTATTTATCAAATTGGTTCTTCAACCAATTTTCAAAGGTTATAAATTAATAAATTTACCTTTGGATATGTGAAAGTGTGCACTTTCACTTGCATGAATGAAGATTCGATGGAGATATTTTCAGTGCCCAAGATGCGACCGCTGACATTGCCCCAGGTCTTCAATTTTGGTTCTCCAGCGAGGCAAATGCATAAAGCGCACGACAAAACAACAAACACGGCGAATTTCATGTTTGGACAAGTTAACGATTTAATTACAACTGATTTCCCATTGACCACGGCATGCCTTTTATTGGGCAAAACATTATCTTATCTGTTATTATAGTATCGTGACAAAAATCGATAAAAACAATTTCGATGTGGTAATTTGTTTTTGCATGTCGGTTTTTTTCTTGGGTGTGATTCATTCCAGCTATCAGTTTTTAATCAACGCGTGTGTAAAAAACCTCTTCAGATTATATTCGTCAAAGTCAGCTCAGTCACAGCTCATGGTTATCAGTTTTGATAATCCGCTTACGATTCATTGTACTTTTTGTAACACAAAACACATCAAGACCGATCGTAAAACTCAATTTCCTAGCGGTTTCCCCGATATTCTGCTCATCTGGTGAACGTTTTGAAGTGTTGGATTGGGTATCGTAAATCAATCGTGTTTTTGTTTCTAATGAAAGATCCATTGAAAGTCTGATGTCAGCACTTGAAAAAGAATACACAAAAATTAAACGACAATAGACGTTGTTATGATTCATCGATTACTGGTAAAAGTGTGCACTTGTCAAACATAAAATGATATCAGCGATCAAGGTATAACGCTATCGATTTTAACTGATAATCGTGCTATTACTCACTCTGTGATTACATCACGGATATTTACGAAATATGACCATGGTGTAATGAATAGAAAATAAACATCTGATTCAGTTGATCAATTCTGCAGCTGATACTAGTCATGCAATGAACTTTTATTTTCGGGCATATGTTTATACTTGGGTAAACACATCATGATAACATCATAACATATGAAACATTATTTAGGAGACTGATCGATATTTCACCGGTTGTTCTGTCGAAAGAACCTTTTTCATGCTATTGAACTTTTCAAGTTGAACAAAATTCGTGTCAAAATCGGCAGAAAATTATGAAAATTGGCACTCAAGTTTTTAAACCCACTATCAAAAGTACGAAAATCTGAATTTCAATCGACATTGGGGAAAATTGATCACTTTGTTCCATTTTCGAATTTTCGTTTTTTCAATGTCTCACTACTTTCAATGACAGCAAGCCATTGACCTATTGTATAATAAAATAGATCAATGGCTCTGCAAATGAAAGTTATGAGAGATTTCAAGTGATAATATTACTAAACACCTAATTTAATGAATCATTGTTATGTAATACAATTTAAAATCATTTAACTGTACTGAAATTGAGTACAAATGTTAGTGAACTTTATCACCATTCCAATGAGAAAAGCATTCTTTGAAACAAACTTATTCATAAGTAATAAGGATTCATAGAAAAGACATTTCCGAAGTTATTTTTTATCTTGGCAAGCACACCGAACTGCAGTTCCTTATGGAATGTTCGATTCTCTAGCTAAAAACAGTTGATCATATTAAAATTAATTTTCGAAAATCACAACAATATGTTAATGGCAGCTTCAAGTTGTACCACCTAGAGGACGTCTTGGTGTCCTACGTCAAATCTCTCCCATGGTAATTAGATACGAACATCGCTTACAATTCAATAGATTCATTTCTATTTGATTATTAGTGTCGTGTCAATGGGCACAGCAACGACAGAATACCATAATACCAAACGCATCCATTCCCATTAAGACTTGATGCAATTTTTTCGCGCGGAATTTGAAAACAATGAAAATTTAATGGGTGCGCTTAATTTTATGCACTATACTAGTGATATTCGGTTCCTTCTATCACGAGTGACATTTGATTGAATTCACTGCTATAGTATATTACATGCAACGTACACGAAAGATTATGTCCATTTATTATAACCAATTCAAGTTGATTAACCAAGAAGAATCAATCGAAGAATGAAATGATTTCATAAGTCATTTTTTTAAGAATCTACTTTGGTAGATTGGCATACAGAGTTTAGCGTGAACAGTTTCGTTAAGTCATCGACATTAATACGACGATAAGACCTTTATTTTGGAAAGTTACATTCAATCAAAATGATGACAACCTTGAAGCTTCAGCTAGTTGCCTAGTCGGCTATTTCTTTCTCTCTACTGAATTACACAACAAATAAAATGAATATTTCTTGATTTATCATCAAGTGATTCAACACAAATCATTTTAGATTGAACAAACTTGACTCTCGAAAGCTTCCTTATCTATCATTCATAGACAATCAAAAGCCTAAATTGTTTTGAATATGCCTAGCAACAGTCCTTTTATTGATGACAAATAAAATTGAATGGATTTTTTCTACTGTAATTGAATTTTATTCAAAAAAAAATCTCATTGATTCCCATCAAAATCACCATTTGGAATATGTTTTATGCGTAGAAAATGAATGTAGAGTTGATTGGTTGGCCGCGTTGTGATTCAACGAAAAGAGTGACATTGCGTTGACCGATGCCTCCTTTCAAGAATCTCACTGTGGAGTTCAATGTAAAGTCGAAGTGCTGGATTCCGTAGATTGGATAAGTTGATTGTCCCTAAACGAAAAAAGAAGAAAAAAAAATCCGATAAAAATGTGAAACTGACGCAGGTAATTTTTTTCGCACAAAAATGCTATGAAAATGAATGAATTGAAAGAGAATGGTTTCCATACCTCTGGATAATAAAAGGTGAAGTTTTTCGATTGATACGGCGATGAAGGGATTACAATGTTCTTCGTGCCAAGTGTACGGCTAGTGATTTGTCCCCAGGTTTGAATTTTCGGATTGACGGCATTAATGTAACAAACGCTCAAGCAAGCCAAAATCACGAATACGGCGAACTTCATTTTCAATTAAAATTTACTTAGCTTAGGTCGATTGTTGACTTGAAACTGATTTTCTAATGGAACGAGGCATCATATTTATTTCGTGAACAAAGCAAACAGTTTTATCACAGTCACTGTGATTTGATTGATTATCCGAAACACAATCTACAACGCATTTGATTTTCTTGGTATTTTGAACAATCTTGTTCGTTCGTATCTACCACTTGATGATGTGAAATCACCGGCATAGAAATTACATTTAAGCTTTTGACTTTGAATCACGACCTCTTTATCTTGAAAAATACAATTCTAATCGTTTTTGCTCTTTTTAAATGATTTTAAATTCAAGAAAAATCGAAAAATATGCCACAGTTTTGTAATTTTTCACAGTATTTTCTCTCTTAAGTTATTCAAAATTTCGAATGCATGAACTAACTATACACTTCTCTTGAACATCCATATTCCGAACATACCGAGCAACATCTTGATCGACTTCACCTTAGATCACTTTTCTCAGCCACTCAGCTAATCAGGGAGCGTTCATCTCGCCATGAATTCAAAATCATTTGCACAAAGAACACTGTGACTGAGTAGACTGATGGTATGATTTTAATACGTAGAGTCTACAACTTTCAGTGATGAATCATGTCCTACTTTCATATGATTCGAAACACATTTTTATTCATTGCGCCAGAATATTCGTAACGAATTCACTAAATATTTCAATATCTGAGCTGCGTGGCTTTTGTAAAGCCAAAAAAATCACAATCCAAATGAAAATAAGATACAATTCTCCATTAAATATTAATATTTTATTGTAAATGCTAGTACAAAAGTCCAACCGACATTATGAGAAATATGAGATTCCTAGAAAATTCATGCTGAATGGGATTTTTAGTGTCAATTTTGCAAATTTGCCATTCAGACTAAACCATTTTGATGAGCGCATTTTTTTCACGTTTCGGTAACTAACCATAGAAAATGAAACGGGAGTTGATTCCATGGCCGCGTTGTGAAGTAACTTTAATGGTGACATTACGATAACCGGGGCCTCCTATTAAGAAATCAACTGAGACTGGATGTGATTTGAAGTCAAAGTGTCGGATTCCGAAAATTGTGTTTGTTCCCTGACCCTGAACAAAATAGAAAAACTAACTATGAAAAATGTAAAGGTATTTCCCTAAATTTTGAACAAAGTACAATCTTCTTTTCTTACTTGCCTCAGGGAACGTAAATGTGATTGTTTTGACTTTCAACCATGATGACTCAACTTCAACATGTTTGGCACCCAATTCCCAGTTAGTAATTTGACCCCATACATGATCTATCGGTTTATTCGTTTTAGCTTCGTTAATATTGCAAAGGCTCAAACAGATCAAAGCAATGACAACGGTGAACTTCATTTCGAATTTTACTTTGCTTTTTGTCGATAGTTGACTTAAAACTGATATTCTGAAGTAAACGGACACGGTATTTATTTGCTGGAGTTTTGACTCGAAATTTTGTCATACCATTTTGAATTCTTGGAATCGTTTGCAATAAAATCATCCGTGAATATAGTAATGGCCATTCAAACTATCGTCGATAGTCTATCGATACAGTGAATCAACATTATTCATGTGTCAGTTTACGGTACAGTGTGCACGACGAAATACTAAAAAGATGATTTGTAGCCAATGTCTGGGGACAAGTACATTGAGTGATTGCTCATTTCCGACTACGCGTTGGATTTTGTCACAATTTGAAATTGTAATTTATCACGGTTTGGGCCCATAAACATAAAAACTGAAATCGTTTCTCGATTCGCATGTTGTACAACACACGTTGACCTTATTCCGATCATTCTACACCTGATTTGGTGTGGAATGGTAGATTCATTGGCCGTATTGCCCAATTGAAATTCGCATTTGTTTTCAGTTGGTTATCAGGAAATTGCCATTTACCCGTAATTATAATGCAGAAGAGGAAACAACATTGTTTTCGATTACAACAATAAAACTAAATCACAGAAAACTTTCTTCCGGAATGTATAGCGTCCATAGTGAAGCGTAGTTACTCCAGTCAACAGACATTCCACGATGCACTTTGGATTTAGTAACTCAAAATCGAAACGAAATAAAAATCATGGTACGCTTCTGGGCAAAATCACCTTTTTTCACCAAAACCACTCAATGAATCTTTTATTGTCTCTAAGCGATTGAATCAAAATAAATTATTTTTGAATGGCTCAAGCTTTCTTATCGATATGATGAACAGTCTTTTCAGTATAAGGTACAAAAAGCCCAATATTGTTTACTCTTTGTCACTTTGTGTGCGGAAAAACAAAGAAAAATAATTCCAAACGTTTTTTCACATGTAATTTTTTTTATTAAATTCATTCGATTGTTGTTGTTCTAATAAATCTCATACATTTTCACTGCCATTGAATGATCGCGATTAGTTGGTGTAAAAAATGAAAATGGAGTTGATTCCATGGCCGCGTTGTGAATCAATTTGAAGAGTGACATTACGTTGGCCGATGCCTCCTTTCAAGAATCGAACTGACACTGGGTGGGATTGGAAGTCAAAGTGTTGGATTCCGAAAATTGTGTTGGTTCCCTGACCCTGAACAAAATACAAAAAGAAACTATGAAAAATGTGAAGGTATTTTCCTAAATTTTGAACTAAGTACAATCGTCCTATCAAGAACAATCAAAATAATGGTTCCACTTGCCTCGGGGAACGTGAATTTAAAAGTTTTGATTCGCAAAATGGATGGTGTAACCACAACATTCTTGGTGCCTAGCGTAATGGAAGTGATTCGTCCCCAGGTTGTAATCTTCAGTGGATTTACTATGCTACCGAGAGCAACGCTCAAACAGGCCAATATCACGAACACGGCGAACTTCATTTTGAATCGTTCTCACTTTGATTTTTATAGGAGAAAACTCAACTCTGAACTTGAACTGAATTTTCGTTCAACGGGCATCGCTATTTATATGCAACAAGTCAGATTTATCTTAAATTTATTGTGAAACGGAGTGGGAAATGAGTAAGAGATCTTATGATGTGAAAAAAGCATTCGAAAATATTTACTAATTTTTTATCACTCGATGCTTAGTCATGTCACATGATTCATGTGTCATATAGATGTAAAAAATAAATACAAATTTATGACTCGACGCAGAACAGACTGAAAAATATCCATTTTCAACCGAATCTTTTATTCAGTGGAATAAATTTGCGAAAAAAAAATTAAATAAAATTCATTTAATTGTGTTGTTGATACTTTCGGTTGAACTACGTTGACAATATTTTTGGAAAGATCTTTCGCTCATCTGAATGTAGGTAATGGCCAGACAAATCATATACAAAAATTTGTATTATGTATTAATATTTACTTGAAAAAATTCCATAGATGCCTCAATCGCTTATTCTATACGCAAATTAGATCTCCATAAGGTTCTATTGTGAAAAACGTCACTGAGGACATTGAATGACATAAAATTGAATGACCAAAACCCAAAACTAACTTGGAAACACTGTTCATGTTTGCTAAACTGTCTCGCTTGGATTGCAGCGCTTGGATTGCAGAGTTCGAATCCAAAACTGAATATCTCCAGATGTTGAAACGTAGACAGAAATTGATGAATCATATGCATTTTAAATATAGTTGTTCACATTTTTCTCGCATTTGATTAGGTGTTTACGCATACAATCGCAAGAAAAAGCAAATAAATTTTATGACAAATAATTCCAAATGTTTTTTTTTTCACATGCAATTATTTTATTCAATTCATTCGATTGTTGTTGTTCTAAAAAATCTCATACATTTTCATTGTCATTGAATGGTCGCGATTAGTTGGTGTAGAAAATGAAAGTGGAGTTGATTCCATGACCGCGCTGTGAATCAATTTGAAGAGTGACATTACGTTGGCCGATGCCTCCTTTCAAGAATCGAACTGACACTGGGTGGGATTTGAAGTCAAAGTGTTGAATTCCGAAAATTGTGTTGGTTCCCTGACCCTGAACAAAATACAAAAAGAAACTACATATGAAAAATGTGAAGGTATTTTCCTAAATTTTGAACAAAGTACAATCGTCTTTTCAAGAACAATCAAAGTAATGGTTCCACTTGCCTCGGGGAACGTGAATTTAAAAGTTTTGATTTGCAAAATGGATGATGTAGCCACAACATTCTTGGTGCCTAGCGTACGGGAAGTGACTTGTCCCCAGGTTGTAATCTTCGGTGGATTTGCTGTGTTAACGAGAGCAACGCTCAAACAGGCCAATATCACGAACACGGCGAACTTCATTTTGAAATAGTAGCACTTTACTTCCGGTCAACAGTTGACTTGAAACTGATTTTCTAACGGAACGTGCTACGCTATTTATATCGTGAACAAACAAACATCGCGGCCGATGTGATTTGTTTGATAACTATCAATCTTAATTATCTTTATCAAAAATCACGTTTAAACAACGCATTTGATATTGTTTGTATTTGAAACAAAGTATTCGCCGTATCTTCCACTTAACGATTTTAAATCAACGTGACATCAGATTTTAATTCAATTTCATTAATAATAACTGTTCACCGGAAATAAAGATACAGATAATTGTGAACTATATTGTGCCGATTCAATCGAATTTACGCATTTAAGCTTTCGAAACCCATGTTTGTTCGATTTGGATTTGACAACGTTGTATTGATTTTTTCAAAATTCGAATTGAAATGGTCTTTCAAAATGACTCAAAAGCTTACTCGCTTGTATACTTCTTTGTATGATACTTATTTGTTTCGAACAAAATTCCAATCGAATTGATTCAATTCACTTTTATCGAAAGTCTATTGACGAAGAGAATTACAAGCTGAGGAGAAAAACACAAAAATTGATCCAAAAAATTGACAAATTTGTTTAATTTATTTCTGTTTATGAACACATAAGATCCAAGACTTATTGAACAAATTTTACAACACATGAATAATTTTTTCTCATTTTAAAATTTGATGATGCAGTTACGTTTATTTGAAGAAAAAAAATCTCATCCTTAGAGACAGTTTTCTATCTTTGATGATCTTCAAATCGGATCTTGAGTCATGCATTGCCTAACCGTAGATATAGAAAGTGGAGTTGATTGGTACGCCACGCTGTGATGTGATTGAAAGAGTGACATTACGTTGGTCGATGCCTCCTTTTTTGAAAGTAACATTGGATGGTTTCGATGCGAAGTCAATCTTCTTAATGCCCTTGATTAGGGATGGTGCCTGAATGGAATAGAAAATAGTGCATTAAAACTGTGAACTCTCTTCCGTATCGATGAAATGAGAACTAAAAAATTCTCATCCAAGAAAAATAGCATTGAACTGCTGGCTCGGTTGTTGCCATTGATATTGAAATATTCGAATGTTTCCATCTTTTCGTGAAATAAAATCTAATTACAGAATATGTGAAATTGGAGGCTTGACCATGGAACATGGATTTTGGAACTTCAATTTTTTTGACATCTAACAGATGGTATGTAATGTGGCCCCAGGTTTGAATTTTAAACTTGCTTGAATCAACATAACAAACACTCAAATATACGAAAACTAAGATCGCAACGAACTTCATTTTGAATCGTTCTCACTTTGATTTTTTTTGGAGAAAACTCAACTGTGAACATGAACTGAATTTTCGTTGAACTTAAATTTATTGTAAAACGGAGTGGGAAATGAGTAAGAGATTTTATGATGTGAAAAAAGCATTCGAAAATATTTACTAATTTTTTATCACTCGATGCTTAGTCATGTCACATGATTCATGTGTCATATAGATGTAAAAAATAAATACAAATTTATGACTCGACGCAGAACATACTGAAAAATATCCATTTTCAACCGAATCTTTTATTCAGTGGAATAAATTTGAGAGAAAAATAAAATAAAATTCATTCAATTGTGTTGTTGATACTTTCGGTTGGACTACGTTGACAATATTTTTGGAAAGATCTTTCGCATCACCTGAATTTGTATTATGTAATATTTGTGTTGAATATCTATTGACTAGATCGAGAGGAGAGTAAGTTCATCTGACTTTGTTGTGAAAGAGAAAAGTAAGTTTCTTTCGACTCAAAAATGGTTAAAGGCGAGTATGTTCATTTTTGGCGGGTCCTCGCGGTTTTCCACGGTTTCCGCGGAACTGATAAGAGATAACAACTTGGTGTCTTCTATAACATTGTTGAAGTCAGTTATCTCTTATCTCTTATCAGCTCCGCGAAAAGCGCGAAAAATGATAAGAAAAAAAAAGTTCTATATAAAATTTGCTTTTTTATGTGCGCAATTTGCGCGCAACTGATAAGAGATAAGAGATAGATGTCTTCAGCAATGTTAAAGAAAACCTCAAGTACTACAACTTTGCCGAAGACACCATGTTGTTATCTTTTATCAGTTTCGCGGAAACCGTGAAAAACCGCGGAGGCTAGACGGGATGCCAACATACTTCCTTTTAACGCAGATAGAATCAACAGAAATCATACTCTCCTCTTTCAAAATATATTAGAATTTTTTCACATACTCTCCTCTCGATCTAGTCAATAGATATTTGAATAGTCATCTGAATTGATTATCAACATAGCGTTGAGTTTATTGTATTGGATTGAGATTTCCTAATACACAACAACATGAATCATTTTTTCTCATTTTAAAATTTGATGATGCAGTTACGTTTATTTGAAGAAAAAAAATCTCATCCTTAGAGACATTTCTCTATCTTTGATGATCTTCAAAGATTAAATACAAAACCTCCTTTAAAATTTACAAATCGCCAATAAAAATGACAAAACCGCAATAAAATTGACAAAAAAAATTCAACAAAATCGACAACAAATCGAAATAAAATGTAACATAACAATCAATAAAATTAACATTAAGTCCAATGAAATTGCCAGTTTAGCATTACGTTGGTCGATGCCTCCTTTCACGAAAGTAACACTGGTTGGTTTCAATGCGTTGTCAATCTTCTTAATGTTCTTCTGTCTGGCTTGGATTCATTTCGATGACATTGTTCAAGTCATTCTCAAATGAAAGTGGTGTTTTTATTTCAAAATAATACATTTAAACTTTATTGCGATTTAACAGTTGAACGAATTGAATGAATATTCCATCGAAATGTGAAGAGTGATTCAGAGAAGAGTCGCCCAATGATGAAAGTATGTATTGAAAACCATCAATATCGCTTGTAAAAGAGAGCAGAGTTCGAATCCAGAACATTTTTTTGTATTTCTTCTACTAGTTCATTAATTTAGATGGTGCAAGATCGTGAGATATCACCGTTTCCATTTACTTTGAGTTCCTTCGTGATTGCGGCTATGTGGCTATTTCGAAATCATGCTATAAATATTATCATATATCACCAGCCAATTAGTGTTTTTTGCATTCTCGAATTTTTATTGTTATGATTAAAATATCGGTAGATTTCTTAGGAATGATGTGGAAATTTCATGACGGGCGTATGACTTAATGAGCTTATCATGTGGCCACTGTGATAATTGGCAGCCGAAATAATTTTGGATTTTATCTTTTAAAAAAAATTCATAAAAAACGAACGATCAAAAGTTGACACATTGATTTAAAAAGCCAAAAAGCAAAAAGGACTTATTTAGCCAAAATCATTTCATGGCCAGTTCATTTATAGCCCATAAATCGTCATTGCTATTTAAAAATAAAGAAAGAATGTGGCAATGAAGAAACATTCGACAAATTTCATATGAAATTGGCTGTATTTTTGTTGTTCTTGCACATGACTCATGCAAAAGAAATTTGCGAATGAAAACATTCCACTTACGCGTATAACAATTTCAATAAAACGACAATCTTTGCTCACAAAAAATGTATTTTTATTCTGGACATTTCATTTCGATCTGTTTTCATTTGATTTGAACAAAATCATTGACCTATGTGAAGAAAACGAATTCGGATTTGATTCCATGGCCACGTTGTGATTCAACGAGAATGGTAACGGAAGTGTCTCCAATGCCTCCTTTCAAGAAATGAACGGTTACTGGATGGGATTTGTAGTCAACGTGCTTGATACCTAAGATTGGGAAACGTTGTTCGGTTGGGTCCTGCAAACAATTTAAATAAGAAGAGAGAAAACACTTTAAAATTACGGAATTCAAACCAAACTTTTTCTATTTTTTTTGAAACATCTTCTGCATTTGTCACTCAAAACTATCCCTAACACATCTAAACGGTTGATTATTATCTTAAAAAGTCCATTAATATCTAACGTACCTGTGGAAAAGTGAATACGTAAGTGTGGATTTTGTTATCGAAAATGCCTGATTTGACTTCAACTTTTTTATTGCCCAAAACACTTTGTGTTTCAGTGCCCCAAACGACCTCGTTCAATGCGATGACATAGCAAACGCTGAAGCAGGCAAAAGCCAAAAGTACGGCCACTTTCATGATGATTTTTCTTTTGTTTTTGCACTTGATTACCACGAAACAGACAACGGTTAAATCAAATCTGGATATTCATTGCTCAATCAACGCTTTTTATGTGATGAAAAAATTGGCGTTATCTTATCGAATAAAGTTATCATGATTAAAATAGATGAGTCAGCTTCTCTAGATGTTTCCGTAATCAAGCCGATTGAAGCTACCGATTTCTCATTGCTATCATCAAATTCGTTCAGTAAAAGAAAAAAATAGGAAAATATTTCGTTTCGTAATGTTACACAGTTCGAATCGTTCATATATCAGAATCATTTCTGTATTACACTTTGCAACACATTTCTTCCTTTTCAAGACTGAAGCACAAATTTCCGAGTTAGCATTTCACTCTTTCTTCCCTTCATTTACTCTCTCTCTCTCTCTCTCTCTCTCTCTCTCTCTCTCTCTCTCTCTTCACACTCTTTCCAGTCTTTCGCATGTTTACTATAGGCAAAGGAGTGGAGAGAGAGTACTGATTACTCATTTTGGCTCATTTCGTCTATTTCGTATGCATCGCCAAGTCACTCATGTACATTTACACGTCGATGACTTGGAAATAGAATAGAATAAATAGTCTTACCTCCGTAAGACGAACTTTTCCGCACCGTTTTCATAGCGTTCAGCTTCTATTCAGATTTTGCCTAGGAAATTCATAAGAATTTCCCCACACGAATTTCGAACTGGCGAAGCTGTCAATGGAATGTGTGACTGTGTGCGCTTTTTATAAGGTTGACATCACATCGCATCGCACATCTACTAATGTTCAATTCAAAGAACATTTTATTTTTTTCTTCGATTGAACATGTGCTGTGTAATTTTTCGTTTCATGAATTGTTTTTGTGTGAAGATTTTGAGCAGTTTTTCAGAAACTAAACCAAAATTCGTTTTAAATTTGATTCAAATGTTTTTATCTCTTTATTGAATGAAAATGCAAAAAAATATTGATTTGGAATTGAAAAATTGGAACAAAATGTGACGATATTTCGCTCACCACTGGACCTCAGTGCCTTGATTTGGGCAGTTGTGGTGTGATTGTGCGATTTTTTCACCCTTTTTCTTCAATATTAGCCTCCTCAATGCCAAATTTGAGCCATATAAGATATATAAGTTATATGCCAAAAGAAACTAGAGACCAGGCGCTACATTTTAGAAACACACAGCACCTGCGTTGTTGCCTTAGAAGCCGTTTAAACTGGTTGCATACTTGCAGGAGCATGATTTTTCAAACTGCCTACCTCGATTTGGGGCAGAAGGAAGGGTTTGATCAAGTTAAAATGTTCTACGCATAAGTAGAATTTTCTACGCGATTTCCGAATATTAAAGTGATTTGGGGCTAAAAGCGGGTTTCTGCCCTGTTTTTGCCCTAAAATAGTGATTTTTCGACTTTTTAGCCTCCCCCTCCCTTCCAAACCCCAAACATTGTTATTTTTTGATTCGTTGGAGTCTGGCGAGAATTTTATCAGAACACTTCACCAGTGTCAGACCACCTATTTGGTGTGTAAAAAAATAAGTAGTCGAAAAACCATGAAAAAATGGTAAATGGTGAAAACACCGAATTTTTTTCTCATAAAATATGAGTTGGCGGATAGTTGGGGAATATCGAAAAACTCAAGAATTTGAGGTGGGCCAAGTTTTAAGTCCAAAAATTCGAAAAAAAAATTTCACGTCAAAAAAGAGTTTGCCATTTTTATACTTTGAACCCACTTTTCAGAGCTTGAATGAGCCCGGATGGGGTTGTCGTAGTGGACTTTTTTAAAGCCCCATCGATTATCTATCCAACCATGCATATTGTTTTGAAAGTATGTACCACACTTTTCTAGTGTAAAAATGTCAAAAAGTGCCATTTTTCATTTTTTTCAATATTTGGGTCACCCTAACTTTTCATCAGGTGGGGAAGGTCACCACAATTTTTTGGCTTTGCGAGTTTTTGGCCATAAGAAGTTTATATACCAAGTTTGAGCGAAATCGCAGAGGTCACTTGCAATTTTTGTCCCACTTGGTGTGGAATGGTCGTATAGAGTTTACAATAACAACTCCATATGAAAAAAAAACTTTATGTTGCACTTTAAAACTAGAATATTCTGTGGGAATTTGTTTGTCGCAATAGTTCATTTGTGTGGTACATACATCACATCTTACCAGAAATAAAATGAAAACTTTTCCAAGTTAGTATCATCAGTGTGTTGAAGATGATACTCTCAGCTCACGTAAAATAATCAACTAAAACTAGCATTTCTATTGAGCTATGAATCATCGGTGAATTGAGGCACATTAATTCAAATAATATATAATTAGATTTTAAGAATAGTTGTATTCTACGGAGTTTCATGACTGGCTTGAATAGTTGTACTATTCTTGCAGTATTGGACTCATTATTATTCGCGTGTTCGATTTTTGAGAGTATGTTTCGAATTGAGGCACATTATTGCAATTTACGTAAAACGGTAAAGTATGAGAATCCGCCATTGATCACCTATGTGAAAAAGAATCGAAAAAGTCATTCTACTCTTATTAATTGTCAACAATTTCCCATAAATATGTTTAAAATTGTATTCTATTTACACTTTTAAAAGCCTGTCGTGTGCATGGAATGTTTCCAAAGCCCTGAATAATGAGCGGTTGTTGTGCTGACACCATGACAAATGGCCAAATTCGTTGCACTTCCTTTGGGAATGAATACCAATTGCATTCATAGATGGCATCATTTATATCACTAAATTTTTCAGTAACATTGTCACCAAAGTCACAGAACAAATAAATTTGTGCAACCGACCAGAAGATCACAAACAGCGGATTTATCATTCCGAAGTATTTTCCGTTGCTTTGCGACTGAATTTCGAAAAAAGGAGTAAACGAAATTAAAATAATATTCAGTGTGCATTGTTCACAAATACTCAACCATTTCCATTTGAATCCTTAAAAGTGAGCTACAAATGGTTGAAACGCTCCATAGATAGTATGGAGTGATTGGGAACTTGTAAATGTCTGCAAAATTATACACCAATCTGAAGAAAAATGCAACAAATGGGATTGAAAAATTCCGTAAAATATAACATAACTTGTACTCAACTCTTTGGCGTCCGTATGAAATTGAATAATTTTTTTGAGCCGCTGATGAAAATGACTGAGGCTTTCCTTATTATTACTTTCGTTCAATTGGCTTAGTTCTTGTTCGATATCACGTACAAAAGACATCGACAGCCAACAGAATCCAACGTAAAGGCACACTGCTGGACAGCAAAGCGTTAAAATTCCGAAAAATGTACCGAATTGCCCAAGGTATGCAATTAAATATCCAATCGGTGTTCTCCAATCGAATGGCAACCTAAATGAAATTCAGATTTTTGAACAAATTTTTTGCCTTATTATTGTTCGAATTTTGATTGGTCTTTTTCTAGATTCGAATTTTTCAAACTTACAAAACTGGAAAGGGTAGTATGAAAGCATCTGGCCCAGAATCGGAGGTTAGGCAGAGGAAAAGAGTTATGAGAAAATTTGGTCCCACCAGACCAGGCAACGAGATTTTCACAAAGATCAAATGAAAGCGTTTGGACCACTTTTCAGTCCTTTCGATCACATGGTTGTAGATATCACGAGCAAAAATGGTATGACAACCTGAAAATGTAAGAATTTTTCATGATTTTTCAATAATATGGATAAGATTCGATAAATAAATAAACATTTTTGAAATTGGTTGAATTGATGGGATACAATCCTTCATTTCAAATACTTTCATACGATTCAAATACTCATTAAACGTCAACTTCCGGAATTCCTACTTACGTTTCTGAATAATTGCGTCGGAATCGTCGATAAGTTGAAAGATGTTTGCCATATTGAAAATGTTCGGTATAAAAACGTTCGAAACGCCAAACGTTGTTGCGGCTGCATAGAAAGAATCAGCAAATTCTCTGATTGTTTTGGCTTCAAACAGTAAAAATGCCATTGATGATATGAAAAATTGCGCGAATGTGACTAAAATTGCCACATTTCTTACATTAAACGGATGTTTCGTCGTTTGGGTTGTACTTATACCCACAAACTCAAAATGATGTCGTATCAAATCAAAAATCTTCATCGTCTTCAAAAAAGCACTTTTTTTTAGATTAATTCTTAGTTGCGTCTAAAGACGAGCTCACAATGAGAGACAAATCCAAATTGAAAGTCGAACTCAAAATGAATAAATTTCCAAATTGAAATGCTCATTTTATACTTTCGTAAACACGACAATTAAGTCATTTATTGAATAATCACGTGGACAAAATTTAATTAGCACTCCAATTAAATGAGAAACCAGGAATCAAATTGACTAATTTGTCAATGATTATTATGATTATCCATCAGTTTCTCGGTAACAAGCTTCAATGATGGGTCATCATCATTGATTTTCTGGTCATCTAAGCCAATTGTGTAGGATATAAGGTGAATTACGACAATAAAATTAAGTAGTAGTTTAGAGTGCATAATAAATTGAATTGAAGTAAGGAAAGTGAACGAATTCTTCTATATCGTGGACTAAGCCTAATTGACGCAAAGTCTCTGCATTAATCATGTTCTGGGTTTGGAAAAATTGGATCAATTTGTTGTTTGTTCAACCATTAAGCCTTTTGCATTATTCAACCTTCCGAAGAACCATGAAATATGAGAACCCTGGATCAAAAAAAAAATTACATAAAATATGATGAAAGAATTTCTGACTATTCGTTCTATTTCAAGCTCAATTTTCAATTTCATTCAAAAGTTTCATTTCTTTGGCCGACAAATGGAAATGTCAATTATACTCTTCCGAAGAAATTTCTAATACACTTATTAGTCTTGGAAATGAATCCCTTAAATTTTCTTACATTCTTTCACATTTTCTCGAAACTCTTGAATAACTTACTCTTTTGTATGTCTCTCGACTGCAAGCCACATTAGCAAAACCGCGGAAAATCACGGGTTTTTGTGTGTAAAATTTGTTGTACTTCATGTGGGAATAGATACCAAACACATTCGCAAAGTGCATGATGAATTCCTTCAAACTGGCTGGTGACGTTTTCACCGAAGCTGCAAAAGAAGAAAATAAGAACGAATGACCAGAAAATCAAGACGCTTGGCTTTATCAATTCCAATAAGTTGCCCGCTGTTCTTACTCTCTTACTGAGTAGGAAAAGTTAGAAATGTATTGAGTGGGATTCAAAATGTCTACTCGCAACTATTTCCATCTGAATTGACAGGAGTGTACAGCAAATGGTGAAAATGCTCCATAGAAGAAAATCCACGAATATTATTTCATTGATGTCCATGAAATCGAAGGCAAATCTACGTGAAGTATTGGAATGGAAAGAATCATATGTTTTCAACACTATGCTGTTTGGTTGATATTAAAGAAGTCTATTCAACTCAACTGCTTAACTTGTGGATGGAACTGAATGATATCGACGAGTCTGCTCTTGCATTTTATTTGGATTTTCTTTGGTTTCATCGCTCAAAGCGCGTATTTCTGTGGCAATGTCTTCACCGAATGAAATCATTAGCCAACAGAATCCAATGAAAAAACACATGACACAGTAGCAAGATTGTACATTAGAGGAAAGAAATGCCACTTGAAGTGAAAGAGCTGCCAAGTATCCAAATGGTGAATTTCAATCGAAAGGCAACCTAAAAAAATAGATAAAAATGAATCAAAATTCAAGAAAAACATACGTATCTTCAGAGCATCTTGATTATTATTAACTCACCGCACCAAAAACGGCAATTCAAATGCATCGCTTCCCAAATCGGTTGTGAAATAAAGGAAAAACGACGTAAAAAAAATCGGTAACACAATTCCAACTAAAGTACATGGAACACATGCAAAATAAAAGATCTTGCTGAACTGTTCGATTTTCTCATTCCATTTTTCATAAATTTCTTGTAAGTGTCGTTGTTCAATTTCTTTTTCCAAATTTTCGGTAAGTTCATAGATCTTCGCCTTGTAAAATAAATGATAAATTGTAAAAAACAGCCACAGCCGCAGTTACAAATGCATAGAACGAATCAGCATATTGCCGAAGAGTTTGCGCTTCAACAATTAGATAGATCATGGCTGTGATCGAAAGTTGTACGATAAAAAATAGAGT